GAGCTTTATAATGAAACAAAGTGAGCAAGCTAGTTTTAGGGCATGCTTGTGAGCTCAATTGTGGTTCTGCCCCCAGAAGCTACTTGTGGGAGTAGAAGATGGGAGTAGAGTGGTAGTTGTAAGTGGATCTCAGCAAAGAAAAGCTGGATATTCCCAGTTTCCAAGGAGGGATTAAGATCTTCCTTCTAATGAAGGAAGATGAAATAGAAATAAAGGGAACTTGAGATGATGATTTCCAGGAATGTGGGATTTTGTCCCCAAAGAACCCTCAAACTAACAGGAGTCTCCTATTTGATAATGGTTAATTAAGCATTTTTATGTTCTTTCTCCATTCTGCTTTAATGCTTTAGTGTTCAAAAACCTTAACAAGAATGTAAGGCACTATCATCTCTAAAGAAAGACAAGGGTAGAACTCCCATTCCATGGCAAGAGGCTTCTTACTTGCAGTGAGCCAGACTTTGGAACAGAGGATAATCCCCAAAGTTAAATCAGGTTGAGACTTTTGATTATTATGTTGGAATTGAGCCTTTCAATTAGTGAATGAAACTGCATTACAACTGAACGTGACTATATAACTCTTCATTATGTAACTATATTTAGAAATCCTGGGAACTGTCCAAGTTTCTTAAAGTAACATTTTATAACCTTATGTTTTTTAAGCCTTTAAATTCAATCTAAAAATCTTATGTTATAAACTTTTTAATAACAACTCAAATTGAAAAAGACTAAATGCTTTAGTCAGCTACATTTAAAACTTGGGCAGGGCACCTAGCTGGTACAGTTGGTTCAACATCTGACTCTTGGTTTCCACTCAGGTTGTGATCAGGGTCGTGGGATCAAGCCCAGTGTTGGGCTCTGCATTTAACATGGATTCTACTTGGGATTCATTCTCTCTCTTGCTCTACCCCTCCGCCTATCCCTTGCACATGCACACACGTTCTCTTTCTCTAAAATAAATAAACTTAAAAAACTTGTTTAAATTCACTTAATTTAAAATTGTATTTATAATTTTAATATATTCATCTTTATTCCAGGACTTCAGATACCTGACTTAAAAAATAAAACTTTCTCAATACTTAAAAAATTTGTATAAACTTATTAAACTTAAAACTAGCAAATCCCAAGTCCTTAGAAAAATTCCAATAATATTTGTAAACTGAGATGCCTTGGTGGCTCAGTGGTGGAACATCTGCATTCAGCTCAGGCCATGCATGATCCTGGAGTCCCACATTGGGCTCCCTGCGTGGAGCCTGCTTCTCTCTCTTCCTTTGTCTGCCTCTCTCTGTGTGTCTATCATGAATAAATAAATTTTTTTTAAAAAATCGTTAAAAAAATTTGTAAACTTGGCTAAATTATTCGATTTTTCAACTAAAAAGCCTGAGTCCACAAATTGCATGGTTAATAATTTATGTATATTATACATATTATCGTATCATGTAAAATTGTATTTTAAATTATAGTTTTGAAGCTAATATACCAAGAGTCTACAGTGTATCAGATTCTCTTAAACATTATTACTATAATAAATATATGTTATTCCCAAATATAACTTTGAAGTAGTAAAACCACAGTTTTAATTTACTCCTTTTTTCCTCAATTAATTTTAATTTTTCCTGTGGTGAGAACATTTAAGCAAATAGTTTGAAAAACAGTAGTTTGGTATAAGAACCTCAAGTGTCCCCAGATCAGGGACCTGAGATTATTTATGGGAGAGAAGTTTCTGACCCACTTGATTTTCACCTACCCAGTTGTGGATATCTTGAGTTGTTTTGTTTTTCTAAATTACAGTTATACACAATGTGAAAGTAAAGTGCTTCTTACACATTTCGATACTCTATTTATATCTTACTCTATTTATATCTTCTTCGGAGTTGCTCAAGAACCTTCTGACCTGTTCTAGAGTGAACTGGCTGGTGGCCCTGCTTGCAAAGTTCTCATTCTGGGTATTTCTTTTGTTGCTATCTTGCATTGGATCCCATTTCCTGGTTTCCCTCTTTCTGTTTCCTAGTATACTGTCTGATTTTATTGGAATATGTCTTCTGTTAGTTTCCTGAGACAAGGAGACATCGAATGTAAAGTTTTTGAGATCTTGAATGTTTAAGATAGTTTTATTCAACTTCTGAGTTGGGAAATTTGTGTTTGTTAATATCACATTTTAGTTTGGAAATTATTATCCCTCAAGAATTTGAAGCATTACTCCCCTTTTTTGCTAGTCTTCTTACCCCCCTCCAACCCCCCAGCTTCCAATGTTAGGGAAAAAAAAAAGTTTGTTTGATTTACTAATCTTTGATATGAAACTGGCTTATTTTTTTTCTGGAAGCTTTTTTTTTAATTTTTTTTGTTTGTTTTATTTATTTATGATAGGCACACAGTGAGAGAGAGAGAGGCAGAGACACAGGCAGAGGGAGAAGCAGGCTCCATACACCGGGAGCCCGATGTGGGATTCGATCCCGGGTCTCCAGGATCGCGCCCTGGGCCAAAGGCAGGCGCCAAACCGCTGCGCCACCCAGGGATCCCTCTGAAAGCTTTTAGAGGCCTCTTTTTGTTTGTTTCCAGGATTGTAAAATTTTACAAGATTCTGTGCCCAGTTGGTAAAAGAAAGCTGGAGGGTCTCAGGGCATACTTCTAGTTCACTCTCATCTTTAGTTTGTTCTCACTTGTGTCCCCTATATCAGATACCCTGTGTTTCATGTATTTCAGATAGAAAGTCTCTGGTCTTCTGCCCTGCTATAGGAGAAAAGGTTACTTGCCTGTAACCAGTGAGAGAAGGGTCTAAATTTTAACAACTCCATCTATTCATACCCAAATTCTTGAGTTTATCGTCACCAGTTTTGAGATTGATGCTGGCAGCGATCTAAGAACTTTTTAGCTTTCTCCCCTTAAGCTTAAGATTCTCTTTACTGAGCTCTGTTGAGTCACTTACTGAACTTCTGTTTTTCTGGCTTCCAAAATCCAGTGGTCTTTATCCTTGTGAATTTATACTTTTTTTTTTCTTTTTAATACCTTGTCATTTTAGTGTGTGATTGAGAAGGATGAGGTAAATGCCCATTCAGTCTCTCCAGTCTTTAAACAAGTGCTGTCAACTTTTTCTGGGATAAGGTACAAGTTCATACTCTTCATAGATGATAAATCATTTCTGGATTCAACATAAATGCTTAGATAATTTTTCTTTTACTTGAAAACTTGTATCCTTCAAAAGATACAGCTAATTTCCTTTTGTGATTTATAGGATTTAATTTTGCATTTCTTTACATAATCTAAGATTTTCCTATCTGATTCTAAAGGTACTTTAATACTTTCTTATAGGCATATGTGTATCCTTATATAGATCTTATATCTGATTTTAAATCTCTCTCTCTGTCCTCCCTACTGTATTCTTCCTCTCTGATTTAACAAGAACTCCTATAGATATATATCAGGTCTTACATCTTCTGGCTCTGTAAGTAATGTATTAGTTTCTTCTTGCTGCTATAACCACAAACATAGTTACTTAAAGTAAAACAAATTTATTATTTTATAATTATCGAGGTGCAAAATTAGATTTCCCTAGACTAAAATTGAGAATGAGTAGGACTGTGGTCCCTTTAGAAGCTCTCATGAAGGATGTGCTGCTTTGCTTTTTCCAGCATTTGGAGACTGCCATCATTCCTTGCCTTGTAGCCCTAGACTGCCCTCACATCACTGATCTCTGCTTCCCTGACTCTCCTCCGCCTTTAACTCTAAGGTCTCTTTTCAGTGAATTGGCCCACCTAGATAATGGAGGATATAATCTCCTCATCTCAAAACCCTCAATCACAGCTTGTAATGTCTCTTTTGCCATGTAAAATTCAGGGAATTTGGATATGGAGAGTTTTTTGGGGGGGCATAATTTTGCCTTCTACAAGTGATAACCCTAAAATGATTCTACTGACACTACTCAAGCTAGAAAAATGTATCATTGGCTTGTTTTTCAAGAGTACCCTCTAACCTTATTTTTATTATAAGGTTGATTTTTCAGTATTGTCCAGTTAGTACAATTCCTTCTACCATTCTCTTACTGAATCCTTTCTAAAGCAATGACTTAGTTATGAATTGTCATGTAGGAAGCCTATTCTATAGGTTAAAATCATTTGATGTAATGAGAAAAGCACTATAATTGAGGTCTGGGTTTTAAACTCATATGGCAAAGCAGATAACATAAATCAGTGTAGAAGACAGACTAAAGATAAATGGCTAGTACATACAGCTAGCTTAGGCTTAGAATGCCTTTAGACACATTTGAGACAGATATTTTTAAAAGCCTTTAACAAAACTGAAGGCTGCAGGCTACAAGTTTGGATGTCTGATTAGGTAATAGTTGATCTTCAGGTATATCAAGTACTAAAATACTTCATCTACCTTTCAGAAAATCCATGTTGTCTTTTCAAGTATTTGTTTTCTCACAAAAATTTACTTACCACTGTTCCCACAAAGATTTATTTACTGCTTCTGGAGTACACCATAGTAGTTTTTGAAAGTTTTCACATATATAGGGACACCTGGGTAGCTCAATGGTTGAGTGGCTGACTTTGGCTCAGGGTGTGATCCCGGAGTCCCGGGATTGAGTCCCACATGGGGCTTCCTACATGGAGCCTCCTTCTCCCTCTGCCTGTCTCTGCTTCTCTCTCTGTGAGTCTCATTAATAAATAAAATCTTTAAAAAACAAAGTTTTCATGTATATATACATATATATGTCCCTGAATAACTTGACCTGTGACAATTGATAGGGATTTCACTATCTAGTTAGCTAGAGAGGTAAGTCCAAAATTAAGTAGTGTGATAAAGGATTGTAATAGAGATATGAAATACATGAAGGAGCAATTGATTTTGCTTTAAGTTAGGAATTTGGAGAGGTGGTCAGCTAATGCTTTTTAGAAGTGGATGACATTTGAAGAATTCTCCAGGAGAAATAGTATTCACTAACTTATTTGAAAAAATAATGATGCTTATTTCATTTTATTTTCATGATTTTTTTCCCCTAGATTTTGTCCACAACTGCTTGTGGAAAAGATGGCTGATATTAACCTCAGAGAAATAACCTTAATAGTAGGTGTGGTTACTGCCTGCTACTGGAACAGCCTCTTTTGTGGTTTTGTTTTTGATGATGTTTCAGCAATATTGGATAATAAAGACCTGCATCCATCTACACCTTTAAAAACTTTATTTCAGAATGACTTCTGGGGAACCCCTATGTCTGAGGTAAATAGTTACTTTTGGCTTATGTGTATCTTAGATTTTAAAATATTCTGGCAGTTTATTAATTATCCTAATTCTTTTTTTTATCAGCATTGTCATCATAGATAGCACTTCTGAATTCGTTTCCCTAAAATGTATGTGTTAGATAGGAAGTAGAAGATGCAATTATTTTCCTTAAAGCAGTACATGATTCTTTTCTTGGTTGCGTACTTTCATTTAATTGTTTTAAAAACCATATATGTGTGTGGAAACCAAGTGTGTTAGAATAGCAATAAGTGTAAACAAATCTATTTCTTGGTATCTTTTTTTTTTTCATGATATAGGCAAAAGCAAGGGCTACTTATATATTTAACCATCTATAAACTTGTGATTTCAGTATAAATAGATTGGACTTTAAAGGTATTTAGTTTTTTCTGCAGAAAAATTTAAATTTGTAGCATATTTCTTAATAGTTATTTTAATTTTATACTGAGAATCCAAAAGTTTAGTTAATTTTTATGAGGATGTTTTTATTTTGCCAGTAAATTTATTTTGAAGGTCACTGTTAAACTGTTTGGGATTAAACCCTTGTCAGTTTGGGATCACATAGATTGGATCACACTGTCCTATTATATAATAACTGTATGAAATGGGTGAGAATATATCTTTTTAGGTGGCAAGATGTGTAAAGGATCTGATCCATAAAGGAATAAATACCTGGAAGATAAATAAATGAATTTATCTATAGTTCCTGGTGCATAATTGTTGAACCATAACATAATACTCTTCTAGTTTGTCAGCTGTCATTTGTGGTCCCTTTCTGCATTCTTTTTTTTTTTTTTTTTAGATTTATTTATTTATTCATGGGAGACAGAGAGAGAGGCAGAGACAGGCAGAGGGAGGAGCAGGCTCTCCGCAGGGAACCCAATGTGGGACTGGATCCCAGATCCTGGGATCACTCTGAGCCCAAGGCAAACGTCCAACCTGAGCTACCCAGGCGTCCCTGCATTCTTTAAATACAGAAGCTTCTCAAGGGTGGGGATGAAATCTATATTTTCTCTCCGCACAAGCACATAAGAAGTATTTTTTTCTTGTTAAATAAACAATTTATTTTCTTGTAATTTTCCTATTTTCAACTAATTCTAGCCTTTAAAAGAAGTAAATATTTGATAATGAGAAAAAATGTGATTCTATAATAAGGTACATTATCTTCTAGGCAATTTAATTCCTTCAACCCCTACACTTTATCCCCAGGGACTCTTAGAAATAATATGTCTATTTCCCCAATTTAAGCTAGTATCTGCTGTGAATTTAATCATGACATTGAGATTTTAAACTAAAAGATTAGCTGACCAGATTAAAGGTCTCATGAAAGTTATACCATTGTCAATGCTATGTTTTGTGACTTCCTCAGCTTACAGATTGAAAATTTTATTCAGAGCACCTATAAGTGGACACACTAAGTAAAATACTCAAAGTGAATGAACAAATCTGAGGTACAGTATATGGTGCCTAATATGCCTGTTTTCTGATGGGCATATTCTCTTCCTATAGGGAAATGTGCCATTAAGGAAAAATTATTCTGAATAGTATATAGATATTACAAGTTTTCTTGATAGCCCTGGAATTAGCACATTCAAAGATCTAATGGTTGACGTCATCAAGTAATGATAGCCTGGAAGCCTATCTGTGAGTGCCCAACCCTTCATAAGGATTTTTGTGCCAGTGCAAATCTTAAAGACACATTTTGGTCTTAAGACATACTCCTGAGCTGTATGAATACTGGCATGGTAGGAGATCTTTGAACTCCTCTGGGCCTCTTAGTGTTTAGAATATCTCTTTAGTAAGCCCATTCTTTAGATATGTAATATTGTTTTTGAATGATGGATGATAAGTCTAGCATTAGAATCTCCCCAGGTTGGGCAGCCTGGGTGGCTCAGCGGTTTAGCGCCGCCTTCAGTGCAGGGCGTGATCCTGGAGACCGGGGATCAAGTCCCATGTCAGGCTCCCTGCATGGAGCCTGCCTCTCTCTCTCTCTCTCTCTCTCTCTCTCTCTCTCTCTCTCTCTCTCTTTCTCTCTGTGTCATGAATACATAATTATGTATACATTATGTATCTGAATACATAAATACATGCATACATATTGCATAAATGTGAATAATTATGTAAATACATACCATATTTATTGTTATATGTTATGAATAAATACATAATTATGAATACATAAATCTTTTTTAAAAAAGAATCTGCCTGGGTTACTTAAAAAAATATTACTAAGGCTCTACTCAAATCTGTTACTTCTAGTTATCTCAGAATGGGGTGTGGGCATCAGTATTTTTGTCTTGTTCCTTTTCTGTGCGTTTGCTTTTTTATTGTTCTTGTGCGACTTAGGGAGGACAAGTAGAAGATTGTGCTTTTTCTCTTTTCTTAAATTACCCAAGTGATTCTCTGGTATAGCCGTGGTTGAGAACCACTGAGCTATAATGAGCCATCTCTTCTGGCATTTGGCCTTTGAAATATCTTTGCAAATATTCTATCTCACTGTGTTTTGCCACCCCTGTGTGGAGATTCGCATTAACAGAGAACTATTAGCTTATTCATTATATTCATGCTTATGTTTCTATTGCCGACTAATACTGTGGATAATTACGTTTTTTCTTTAATATACCTGAACTTTATAATCTGTATTGTTTTGTTTGTAATAGAACTAGCTATTTTACTATATTCTCACAGAGTAATCTACAGTTCTCTATTACCCTGATGATTATTTCTCACAGTGGAGTCTTAGATTACTAATTAATTGTGTGAATAATTAGTTATGGTAATAATCTATTTTTTAATTGGCCATTACCTGTGACTGTGTATCTAGTAGACCTAACAAAGCAAGTATATATATTGCAATTAAAAATAACCTATTCCTGCACTTTCAGACTTCATCCCTTCAACTGGCAAATGTGTCCCAGTGGAACTACAGTAACATTTCAGGCAATCAGAGGATTTCTAGAACCATTTTTCCCTTTTGGATACATATCATGTCAGCTCAGTATAGTGCCTTAAAAATTATTTTTTATGCCTGAGCTAAATCAAATTATGTACAGAAATTAAGCAGCAAAGAACATTTTAGGTAGACAACACTCATGGCATGTTTATTCAATACAGAGATATTAAAATGTTTCTGTTTTCAAATTGAGAAATGTTTGTTCCTTGTGATTCTTAATGTTCCCTAGTAGAGATGAACAGGCTTGAGTCTACACCTGTAATACCAGAGTTATAGCAAACTATAGTAAGAAGTATGAGAGAAAAGAGGCTGAGTGTGAATGCCCTTCCATAAAATTTTGAAAAGTTAACTGTGATAATATTTTATGTGTTTTGACTTGTCTATTTTATTCTTAAATCTGGTTTTATTTTTGTCTTACAGTAAAAATATTTCTAGTTAAATAGAACTTCTAGTTTGTAAAGAAATTTGGCAACTTTTTTTTTTTTTTTTTTTTTTTTAATGATAGAGAGAGAGAGAGGCAGAGACATAGGCAGAGGGAGAAACAGGCTCCATGCACCGGGAGCCCGATGTGGGATTCGATCCCGGGTCTCCCGGATCGCGCCCTGGGCCAAAGGCAGGCGCTAAACCACTGCGCCACCCAGGGATCCCGAAATTTGGCAACTTTACATAAAATTTGATTTATTGCCAGAAGAGACTACCATAACAAAGATATCTATTCTCTTATTCTAAGAAAGTTTTTATTTTTGTGTAGTATTTGGGCATTTGGTTTAATATATTCAGGATTATATATTATGAAGCTATTTTTCATAAAACTTTTTTGAGTCTCCACTATTAAAACTGAGCTGGTAAACATTCTGTTCTTATATTTTCCTTTTAAGGATCTGGCCAGCAGTTATATAAATGCTTGTATTAGTAGATTGGAAGGTAGGATTTGGAGAAAATTCTGTGTTCTAATTTGACCAATGCTACTATTGTCTTGCTTTATTATTTCTTAAAATCTGTATGTTGAAGAGGAGTTAATAGTCAGATATTTTTCCTCTGCTGTTGATTCTTTAAACACTGTATTTCATGGTGGAAATTGCCTTGTTTTGGGAAAACAGAAATGGGAAAACATAGATTATAAAGCTATCTTTTAAGTTTGTGTTATCCTTGGAGCATTTTGTTATTTTATTGCTATATCTCAGCCAAACATAGATAGTTTCAATAGTAAATGCACAGATTAGTTTTATATGCCCTGAAGGACCATGGTCCTTTAATGATGATGATTGTTTTTTTTCTTTTAGGAGAGAAGCCACAAGTCTTACCGTCCCTTAACTGTATTGACATTTCGCTTAAATTATCTGTTTAGTGAACTGAAACCAATGTCTTATCATCTCCTAAATATGATTTTTCATGCTGTAGTTAGTGTGATATTTCTTAAAGTCTGCAAACTTTTTCTGGACAACAGGAGTAGTATGATTGCTTCTTTACTTTTTGCAGTGCACCCAATACACACAGAAGCCGTAAGTAAAATAGTAAATCAGTGTTTTCTTTCTTTTTTTTTTAATTTTTATTTATTTTTTAAAAGATTTATTTATTTATGATAGACATAGAGGCAGAGACACAGGAGGAGGGAGAGGCAGGCTCCATGCCGGGAGCCCGACGTGGGACTCGATCCTGGGACTCCAGGATCGCACCCTGGGCCAAAGGCAGGTGCTAAACCGCTGAGCCACCCAGGGATCCCCTGGTTTTTTTTTGTTTTTTTTTTGTTTTTTTAAACAAAGCATGCATGGTGATTATAATGGTTTATTTTAAGAAAAAAAATTTAACCATGGCTTTCATTAAAATATTTGAAGATTTTAAAATTATTATAGAAGTCTTAACATCTGATGTACAGAGTCTGGCTTCCTACTATATATAATTTTTAAATTTTAAAATAAATTTTGAAACAAACATTATTTAAGGACATAAGATACTGCTCAAGATGAGTAATGTAAAGTATAAATACGGATTTAAAACATTTGTCAAGTTGGCAGTGTATTTCAAAGAACAGAAAATAAGACAAATTTAAGTAAAAGATGAAAATATATCAAAATACGGGCAGCCCGGGTGGGTCAGCGGTTTAGCACCGCCTTCAGCCCCGGGCCTGATCCTGGAGACCCAGGATCAAGTCCCACATCGGGCTCCCTGCATGGATCCTGCTTCTCCCTCTGCCTGTGTCTCGGCCTCTCTGTGTGTGTCTCGTGAATAAATAAATAAAATCTTAAAAAAAAAGAAAATACATCAAAATATATGTAAACAGAAACAGACATCCTAACCAATGATGATACTCAGTACTTACCTATTGTCTGTTGCCACATTTCAAAATTGTGAACTGCCTCTGCTGTTGCCAATATATCTATTAGCCCCCACGTACCAAGACATACTTAAATTATAACTTTATTTTTCTTGATAATCTTGAAACCCCCAACAGAGCAAACAGGGCTCTGTTCAGTTGCTTTGTTACAAGCTTTCAGTTGTAAGCAAAAATGTGTGTGTTTAAACACTGCATGCTTAAATAGTTGTGTGTATATTGAAAGGGGTTTGTGTATCTCCCACTGTCTTGATCCTTTTTATGTCTAGTTGAACATTTTTCCATACATTTACAAAAATGATAGGTTATTTTAAATTTTGCAGTGAGTTCAGAATATAGAAGTTTGAGGGTTTTATATTTAAATTTTTAGAATTTAAAAAAGGACTTTTTAAAGATATTTACTTGAGAAAGAGATGGATAGAGCACAAGCAGGGAGAGAGGCACAGGGAGAGGGCAGGCAGACTCCCTATTGAGCAGCCCCCCCTCCCAGTGCAGGGCTCAATCCCAGGACCTGAGATCATGACCTGAACCGAAATCAGACAAATAGAACTGACTGAGCCATTCAGGCATTTTTTAAGTGGAATTTTTAAAGTTAATTATCTTGAGTTTACACGTTTATTATGATAGAACTTACTGAATTTATGATATTTTTAAATTTTAAAGATTCTTGTATTTTAAGAGAATATGTAGGATCTTAGATTTTTTTAAAATTGTAACTATTCTAGATATTGTACTAATGTAAAATGTTGCTGTTGAGGGCAGTTGGGTAAACAGTACACAGGACTTCTCTGTGTACCTATTTTTGTAACTTCTGTGAGTCTATAATTACTTCAAAATAATAATTGTTATAGAGTCACTGGTAAATTTATTTTTATGGAAGATATACAAATTCACCACATGAGGGCAGTCAAAGAATGTCTAAGAAAATGAAATGTGTGCTTGCAAAATTACGGCAATTTGATTTCTAAAGTGCTATTCCTATTACATATGGTAGTTAAATTTTCAAGAGGCTTTTCATAAATATGAACTCCCTTTCCTTTTAGGTAACAGGTGTTGTAGGAAGAGCAGAACTTTTGTCATCCATCTTTTTTCTAGCTGCATTTTTGTCATACACCAAATCAAAAGGACCAGATAATTCCATAGGTGAGTGTCTAACCTTTAATTTTTTCTCTATACCTATAAATTTTGATCAAGTAGTTTTTATTTACTCCATTTTTTATAAAACATATGCCACACTTGAGTTTATATATTATACTACTTCATGTAAGGATATATGAACATGGTATGCAACACTGTCAACATTAAAAAATTTTTTGCATGTAATTTTCATTTTATCATGACTAACAGATTCTGTATGATTTAACTTGAAAAAAGTTATCCTGGAGTATAGCAGTTTAAGAGTCATTCTTAGTTCCATGTGCTGTTACCTATAAATGATACAAGTGCCAATACTTCAGTTGTCTTTCTATAATAACACCTGTGAAGGCTGTGAATTGTATCGTTTAGGTAAAGTTGAAAGTATGTTAAACTTTTATTGCGTGTTGATAATAGTTCAGCTGTTTATTGAGTCCCCACTATGTGACCCACCCTGCAAAATGCTTTGTACGAATTAGGTCATTAATCCTACTGATGCCAGGTATTAATAGATAAATTCCGGGCAATAAAAATTATTTTTTAGAAGGAACAATGGGCCTGAAAGAGGTTTTACATAATGGTTACCTGTATTTGGCTGATATAAAATTTAACAAGTTTTTTTCCTACATTCTTAGAGAATTTTCTCACTGTAGACTGAAAGAACTGATGATAAGGAACCTAATTTTATATTAATGTAAACTAACGTTCAAGAAGTAAGTGATTTAGCCAAACACTTCAGTGTCGTTTTGGATTTGTAATATGGATGGATTTCTATTTCCATTTCCTAGAATGGTTCCTGTTACATATCTGTTCATTACATATCTGTTAAGCAAATGACCAAGTGAATAATTAAACTCTAATTAAAAAGATGCTGAACCTGGGATCCCTGGGTGGCGCAGCGGTTTAGCGCCTGCCTTTGGCCCAGGACGCGATCCTGGAGACCCAGGATCGAATCCCATGTCGGGCTCCTGGTGCACGGGGCCTGCTTCTCCCTCTGCCTATGTCTCTGCCTCTCTCTCTCTCTCTCTCACTGTGTGACTATCATAAATAAATAAATAAAAATTAAAAAAACAAAAAAAGATGCTGAACCTACTTTTGAAACTTTATCCTCTTAATTCCAATAATACTTCATATTCCATGGGACATAATTTTACACTTGAGGCCATAAACATCATTTTGTCATCATCTTTGTATTCACTATTTTATCCAATGTATGCTGTCCTGTGTAAAGTTTTTCAATAAGTAATTATTTGATCACTTTAAATTCTAGGCATTTCATTACCCATCCCCCCCCCCCTTTATTTTTAAACAATCCACCTCAGGGCCTTTGTTCTTTTCTATTAGTTTGGGTTTCTGCTCAAATGTCATCAGTATACTATTCATCTTCTCCATTCCTTTCTATTTCCTTTTACCTTCTAATTTTCCTCATAACACTTAGGTCATCATTTAACAAATTATTTGACTATTTTTTACTTAATTATCTATTATCTCTCTCCCCTACAAAATGTAGTAGATACTTAACCGAATATGTGATTGCTGGAGGTTTGTATCTTTACACATGTAAAATCAGTTTAGAAACCTATATTTTGAACTTGGAATAGATTTTAATGATTGAAATTAAGTCTATAAAATCAGAGTCTATGTTCATATAGTAATAAAGTCACCAAAAGTTGAAGAACTGAAGTGACTGGTTTCAATAAACCTCTTGCCTTTTTTAGAGCTATTGGTTGCTTAGATTGAATCCAACATTGCAGAGGGCAAATGTTTGCTTTTTGTCTTTAGTGGGAATTACAAACTAGTAAGAATCTCTGAATTTAACATCAGAACAACCAAGTTAAGAGTTATGATTTCCTTATTATGCATGACTATTTCATTTTTAGACCTTCAGATTTCTTGCCTCGGGGCACCTGGGTGGCTCAGTTGGTTATGCTTTTGCCTTCAGCACAGGTCTTGATTGGGATCCACCCCGCACGGGCTCTTTGCTCAGAGGGGAGCCTGCTTCTCCCTTCCCCTCTGCCTGCTGCTCCCCCTCACTATCATCACATGTGCCCTTTCTCTCTCTCTCTCTCTCTCTCTCTCTCTCTCTCTCTCTCTCTCTCTCAATTTCTCTCTGTCAAATAAAATCTTAAAAAATTCTTTCCTCACCTTAAAAATGGGTATATCTACCCTTATATCCCATTGGAGTGATTTTGAGACTCAATGAAATAATTCATGTTAAACTTGGTTATATAGACTGATATATATATTTTTAAATGTCTTTTCAAGGCCATTTCCCACCTGTTTTTATTATATTCATACCCATCCAGCCATACTCTATATCATTCATTTACCAAGCTTATTCCCTCCTCTCCTCCTTTATTCATGCATACCTTTTTTTCATGTCCTCTGTATCTTTAAGGTTCAACTTTAGGTTCAGCTTGTTTTGTAAATAATGATCTACTGATTTTTTTTACCTATATGAATTTTTTATTGAGGTTAGCATGATAATTTGGTCCTTGGTATAATCTCATATTTGTGGTTTTGATTTAAGTAGAACATGAGGTTTTTTTGTATTTTGTTTTTTGAGAAAAGGAATACCGTTATACAGAGTATCTCCAATTGTATTTCAGTGTTTTTTGAGTTGCTTTTCTTTTAGTAATTTTAATCTATAGAGTATTTTAAATTTGAAAACAATTTAAAAAGTAAATGAATTTCTGTATTAAGCCCAATGACAAAAGAAAATCCATTAACTTTATAAATTGTTTTTTCTTTTATTTATACCTGGAATTAAGTCAATTATTTGAGTTTTTACTTTAAGGTTCTTAATAAACAAACTTGAGGTCACACATTCATACCACAATGTCTCTTTTAAATTGGAAAAGAATTGAAGATCCTATTTTCCAGTAGGAAAACTAAAACTCAGAAAAGTTGCCCAAGGTCACAAAGCAGGTTAGTAATAGATCCAGAATTACTCTCACAATTTATTCTTCTTTAATCAAATTATTACTACTAACTAGAGACATTTGCTTAATGTTGATGAAGTAGGTTTTCTGTTTAAATAGAACTTAGGAATATTCTATTGAAAATTTTTTAAAAGAATATTAAATTTTCTTTAACCTGTTTCTTTTTTTCATACTCTTTTAAATAAAATGTTAGTTTTCTTTGCCCAGTAGTTTTCAGTTTCAAGTTTTAATAAGACATATAGATGTCTGTGTAGTAAAGTATTTGTCTTCATTTCAAACTGATAGTTCATTAATCACGACACTCCAGCCTATAAAGTTTCTCTTTTCCACAAAAATTTTTTGTTCAAGTTATACATCTTGATGTTTTGTTCTGCGTATATAGAGGAAAAATCACAACATTTAAATACATTTTAAGATATAAAGTATAGGTGAATGGGGAAATAAAATGTAAATATAGAATCACAAGTAAAGTGTTTTAGTAATGTGTAATAGTTGTCTGTCTAACTTGTTATCTATTTATGATATAAAATAGTGTAGTTCCATATTTTGCTGTTCTTAAATTGCAGTATGGACTCCAATTGCGTTGACAGTGGTTTTAGTTGCGATTGCAACATTGTGTAAAGAACAAGGAATAACAGTTGTGGGAATTTGCTGTGTGTATGAAGTATTTATTGCCCAGGGGGTAAGAAAAAAAATTTTTTTGTTGCTATCCTTTATCATATTCGAATTATTTTATAATAAACTTGTTTTCCAAATGTATTATTATATAAATTGGTCTGTTTACTAATAATGATACCAAAAAAATTGCAAGAAACCAGCATGTTTTGTCCTCACATCCATTGAAAATTACTTAACATTTTGTAACTCGTTCATTTTTTTTTTTAAGGACTGCTCTTTGATTTTAATAATAGGATCATTAGGCAATTTGGAAATGTACACATACTGTTGTACAGTATACCTCATTATGGGATAAGATTATTGGGCTCAGTTTTATTTATCATCGGTTCCATAAATTGCTCCATATTGATTTTATAATTGTCAATTTGTATCTAATCTTGCATTTTTAAAGTACTGCATTGTTGAAAACATTGTAGTATATTGCTATTTAAAGCTTTTTTTTTTTTTCCTTTTGCAGTATACTTTGCCATTATTATGTACTACTGCTGGGCAGTTTTTCCGTGGAAAGAGTAGTATTCCATTTTCTATGCTGCAGACACTAATAAAACTCATTGTTTTGATGTTCAGTACACTATTACTTGTTGTGATTAGAGTCCAGGTTATTCAGTCCCAACTTCCAGTATTCACCAGGTATGAAACTCTGATTCTTTTTTTTTTTCATTCTTCTTTCTTTCTCTTGATGTTAAGTGATTATAAGTGTTTCAAAAAGTCTTTGATTTACATTGAGTTTTTTTAACAGCTTTATTGAGGTATAATTTATTTATTTTATTTTATTTTAAGATTTTATTTATTTATTCATGAGAGACAGAGAGAAAAAGAGAGAGAGGCAGAGACATAGGCAGAGGGAGAAGCAGGCTCCACACAGGGAGCCCGATGTGGGACTCGATCCTGGGACTCCAGGATCATGCCCTGGGCCAAAGGCAGGTACTAAACCACTGAGCCACCCGGGCATCCCTAAATAATTTTTGTTAAACCTGCATTTATTTATAATGTACAAATTAGTGGGTTTTGACCTATGTGTACATTTCATGAAACCACCAGAATGAAAATAATGATTTTTAACTTAATTGCTTAAGTGTTGTCTTTTACATTTTAGTGATTTTTGTTCACTTGTTCTATTAATTGAGAGGAGGATATTAAAATCTCCGACTGTAATTATAGATTTCTCTATTTCTCCTTGTCATTTTATCAATTTTTCTTCATGTGTGTTAAAACTCTATTATTAAGTGCATAACATTTAGGATTGTGATGTCCTCTTGATGAATTGAATGAACCCTTTGCCTTTATTAAATGAGATTCTTTATCCCTGGTAATAGTCTTTCTCAAAAATTCACTTTATTTTTTGTTAATATTACATTCTTTATCTTTTTCCGTCCTTTTAATGTATCGATATATTTTATATTTAAAGTTGACTTCTTGAAGGCTACATAAAGTTGAGTCTTCCTTTTTTGTTTGGTCAGATAATATTTTTTAAATGAGATGTTTCAGGTGTTTACATTTAATGTGATTTTCATCTTGTACTATTTTTCTTTGTGACTAAAGAACTTTAACATTTTCTGTAGGTCTGCTGGCGCTTAACTATTTTAGCTTTTGTATATAAAAATACCTCCATTTTACCTTTGTTTTTGAAAAATATTTTGAATTCTTGAGTGTAGAATTCTGTAACAAGTGTTGTCCATTCAGCCCCCTACCCTAATAATGTTCCTCTTCTGTTTTCTAGCTTTCATTGTTTTCACTGGGAAATCTTCTCTGTCATCTTTATTTTTATGCATGTAATGTGTCTTTTTCTCTATGCTTACTTATATTTATCATTTTTTAATTGAGACATAATTGATCTATAACACTATTTTAGGTATACATGTAATGATTTGATATATGTATATTGAGAAATGATTATCATAGTAAGTTTACTTACCATCCATCACCACACATAATTACAAAAAAATTTTTCTTGTGATGAAAACTTTTAAAATCTACTTTCTTTGGAATTTTCAAATATACAGTAGCACACCGTGAACTATATAGTCGCCTGATGCATATTACTACCCTAAGATATATTTATCTTATAACAAATTTTGGATGGAGGTGGTCAAATGATAGAAATTTCTGGTCACTATTCTTTTATCTTTGTGTGTCTTGAGCCTAGAATCTGTAGGTTTTATATTCCATAAATTTTGGAAATTTTTTATCTATTACTTTTTTTTCCATTATCTTTTACTTCTTGAAATATTTTCCTATTATCTTCTTTTTCTGGGACCCTAATTACATGTATATTAGGCTTTTTGAAGTTGTCAAGCTAGAGCTGTATTCCTCTCCCAAAACCATTTTCTCCCTCTTTTCATTTTGGATAGTTTCTTCTGCAGTGTATTCAAGTTTACTAATCTTTTTTCTGCAATGTCTAATCTGCCTTTAATTTTTTTGTAGTTTTTTTTTAAGGATTTTATATTTATTTATTCATGAGAAATAGAGAGGCAGAGACATAAAGGGAGAAGCAGGCTCCCTGCAGGGAGCCCGATGAGGGACTAGATCCCAAGACTCTGGGATCACGCCTGAGCCAAAGTCAGATGTTCAATCACTGAGCCACCCAGGCATCCCTTTTCTGTTTTTTTTTTTTTTCATTTCGAACATTATTTCCATCTCAAGAAATTCTGTTTAAGCCTATTTTATATGTTTCATGTCTCTACAAGTTCTAGTGTTTTAACATCCTCATCTAACAATTTTATTGTGTCATTTTTTTTGTATGATTTCTTAGTCAATTTAGATTGAATAATTTTTCTCCTCATGGCTTATATGTTTATTCTACTTTACATGCCTGGCAATTTAATCGATGCCATATGTGCATTTTACTCTAATATATTACTATAAATGTTTTAATATGTTATAAATATTAATATTACTGTAAACTAATATTGATATTACTATAAACTATAAAAATTATACTATGATTTTAACTTTAATATATTACTATAAATATTAGTATAAGAATCAATATGTTTAGCATATAAAATTACCATAAAATATATGGCTATATTTATTTTAAAATATTATTATAAAATAAAAAGTTATATATTACTATACATATCTGTTATTATAAGTATAAAAATTACTATAAATATAAATATATTACTATAATAGTATAAACATTAAATATTACTATAAATATTTAATATATTACTATAAATATAAACACTATATTTAATATACTACTATAAATATTTAGAGCTTCATTCTGGAATGTATTAAAGTTACTTGAGAAATGTTTCATCTTCTAGCTATGCTTTTAATCTTTAATATATGAGACCATAACAGCATTTACAATAAGAGCAGTTTTCTTCCATTACTGACACAAGACCCTTCTGACTACTCTGATAGACTGTGATTTATGAGGACTTTCATTCTGCTGCTGAGGAATTATTCCCACCTCTGCATGGTATTTTAGAATTTTTATCTAATGCTTTTGAGAGATACTTTCCTAACTGCATTCTTTTTCCTAAGGCTGCAATAACAAATTACCAGAAACTGGGTACCTTAAAGCAGCAGAAATGTATCCTCTTACAATGTTGGAGGTCAGAAGTCCAAAGTCAAGGTGTTGGGCACAGTTGTTTCCTTTTGAAGATTCTCAGAAAGAATCTATTCCATGCCTCTTTCCTAGTTTCTAGTGGTTGCCAGCAGTATTTGGCATTGCTTTTTCCTTGTGTGTTTCTCTGTATGTGTATTCTGTGTGTATTCTCTCTTTATAAAAGGACACCAATCATTATATTTAGGGCTCACCCTAACCCAGTATGACTTCCTCCTAACTTAATAGGCAAAGAACCTGTTTCCAAATAATGTCACAATATGAGGTTCTGGGTAGACATGAATGTTTGAGACACACAGTTCAACCTACTACACTGACCTTGAGTATTTCCTTACATATATATATGCTGATCAGTTCTCATCAGTACTAAAAACTCTGTACGCTTCTGTTGTTTGAGAATTCAAGTCCTGACTCAAGATTTATTATTTTTCATATATATAGATAGATATTCAAATATGAAAGTTTTTAAAATATTATTTGTTCAGATAGTATTTACTTTTTCTCAACCATTTGAATTTTTAGAAGATCAAGTCAAAAAACATTAGGGGTTGATTTTTCAGCAATTCCTTCATTTTAAAGTGAGAAATTGAGTTTTCATTTTATTTTTTTAGATTTTATTTTTATTTATTCATGAGAGACAGAGAGGCAGAGACGTACAGAAAGGGAGAAGCCGGCTCCTTGCGGGGGGCCTGATGCGGGACTCGATCCCAGGACCCTGGGATCACAACCTGAGCCAAAGGCAGATGTTCAATCACTAAGCAACTCGGATGCCTCAGAAATTGAGTTTTCTGACAATATGTTAATATAGCCACTAAAATTTTGAATGTCCCCTAAAAAAATAAAAATCTGAAGCTATTCATTTAAAATGTACTTTAAAAATATGATTTGACTATGTTTGCAGGAAACAAACTAAATTAATGAAATGTACATGTAATATATCATGGCCTGAACAAATATAAATTAGGATATAAGGTTATGTTGGTATGTACTAGGAGAAAAAGTAAATTGTAAATAAAATGTTAAGTAGGTCTATACAGTTACTATTCTATACTGGAAATTTGGTTTTCAGCTTCCTAAAAGTCTAAGCAAAGAGAAAAAGCTCATAGTTGATATAGTTTTCTCTGTCCAGGCAAAAAAAAAAAAAAAAAAGAACCTTAGTTATTCTTTCTAGGAAACAATTTATATAAACATTTAGTGCTGAAAGAAGTATCTCATATAGAAAAAACATTCGTTAGTCTTTTCAGAAACACTTATACAACAGGTACAACAATGAATCTTTTAAAACGTTTTTACTTTTAATTAGGTTATATTTCTGCAGAATAACATAGTGGTTTATATGAATTATTCTAATAATAAATTAGAAAAAGATAACCTAACTCTGATAGACTTCTTCATAGTTTCTATCACCTAGATGTTTCTTAAAGGGTAGACAGTTTGAACTCTAGTGAGGACTGAGGTATTAGTAAAAAATATGGTCTTTTTTTTAATATTTTGTCTTTTTAATGAGATTACACATAAAATATTGATTTTATTCAGTAACTCTGATAGACTTCTTCATAGTTTCTATCACCTAGATGTTTCTTAAAGGGTAGACAGTTTCAGCTCTAGTGAGGACTGAGGTATTAATAAAAAATATTTTGTCTTTTTTTTTAATATTTTGTCTTTTTAATGAGATTACACATAAAATACTGATTTTATTCAGTATTTTATTTATATGTTATACGTTTTGTGTTTAACAAAGTGTTTTAATTTAAATAACTTTTTTCATTCTTTATACAGGTTTGATAACCCAGCTGCTGTAAGCCCAACTCCTACAAGGCAGCTAACTTTTAACTATCTCCTTCCTTTGAATGCTTGGCTTCTATTAAATCCTTCAGAACTCTGCTGTGATTGGACCATGGGAACAATACCCCTAATAGAGTCATTTCTAGATGTTAGAAATCTTGCCACATTTACTTTCTTTTGCTTTTTGGGGGCATTGGGAGTATTCAGTCTCAGATACCCTGGTGATTCCTCCAAGACTGTTCTAATGGTAAGAAACTTCTTAATTTTTTTAGATTATGTAACATTCAGTTAATTTAGAGACTGCCTTTATTTATTTAAAGATTTTATTTATTCATGAGAAACACAGAGAGGCAGAGAAGCAGGCAGAGGGAGAAGCAGGTCCCTGTGGGGAGCCCAATGCAAGACTTGATCCTGGAACCCCAGAATCGTGCCCTGAGCCAAAGGTAGACCTACGCTCAACCACTGAGCCACCCACGCATCCCTAGAGACTACCTTTAATTTGTCAAAGCATCTTCTTAGAAACAGCATCTTTCTTTGCCCAACATCTGCCTAATTTATTAACTTATTTTAAGCTATCCTAAAATTATATATCAGAATTGCATATGCAGGCATAATTTGACATAGACATTCAGCATGTAAAATAAAAACTGGTTGTGAATTTCCCTGATTTGATAGGAACTCTGAAACCATGAAGCATCCCTTTGGCATCACTTTGTTCTTTTTCTTTACCCAAGTAGATCATATACTTTGAGGAAATGGTTCATATTATATACTTCTTTCTTTTCTTGATACAGAGAAGAATGTCATGTATGAGATAGATAGCTAGAAATGTATAGCTCTTTTGTTCTCATTAGCAAGATTTTCATTACTCCCCACGTTATTTTCTATGTTCAGAGGACTCTGATAACAGCCTACTTGTTGTTTTTCTGAGGTGTATTTCTTTGTAATTTTCTTACACTGCTGTCACTTGTAATGACAGTTTTTTTGTCTCTTCCTTTAAATTACTGAAGACAGTAATAATCTTTAACATTTTCTTGAGTATTTGCTACATACCAGCAAGTATTTTTCTAATACTTTAAAAATATATCTGGTTACAGCCACTAGGTTCATTTATTCATTCAGTAAAGTTTTTCTTATAGCTTATGTATCAGGCAGCCTTTTAGGCACTGAGGATATGATGAAAAGAAATACAAAGCTCCAATTACCAAGGAACTGTCATTTTGGAAAAATTTGAAGCTAATCTCTGAGATATAGAGAAGATTGGGAAAAAAAAAACAGAGTTTGGGGGGGGGGAATCGTATTTACTATTATTTTTGAATCTCTTGAGTTTGATCTGGTAGAGATTATGAATAGCACTTGGCGCCTGGAGTTCAGAGGAGAGTCCTGAGCTTCATATAAAAATTTGATAGGTTGGCATAGAGATAGTAATTGAAACTTAGTGGCTGTGAATAATGTGTTCCATGGAGAGATTATAGAGCAGCCTTTCTCAGTTGGGGTTTTGTCACTTTTCTCAAAGGTGATAACCAGCTATTACCATTTTAGGTGCATGGAATAGAAGATAATTCATATTACACAATGAATGCCTTAGAGTGTTTGGTCTTATTTCTCCCTCAGAAAATAGTTGAAGGGGGCTATATAGAGTTAGAAGAAACCTACAACTAGTTCTTGAAAAACTCCTATATTTAGATACTGTCTAGAGAAGAATGAATCTAAATAGGAAACAGACCAAACGGACAGAAAGGTAGGTCAGTGTCTCAGGAAAGATGGAATGGTTATCACTAACATGCTGTCAAGCAGAAAAGTGAAATCAGTCATATTTGATCTCTTTAAGGTGTATTAGTTACTTAAATTTATTTCTGCGGATAGATTTTATTAGATGAGGATATGAAGATTGTTAGTGTAGATAACCTGTAGAAGTAATTCAACTTTGAATATTTCAAAGGAGGAGACAAGCTTGAATTTATTACCACCTAAGAGAACATAGCACCAAGCATAAGAGACTGCTGATCTCCTGTAGAGCTTGGAGGAAGGATAACAATCTAGAATTAGTGGACCTTCAGAGGGAGGAGAATCACTTTCATTGGAGTACTCAGTTGGCTGACTTTTAGAAGCAAGGGGATATCACTAATGGGTTGACTTGCAAAAATGTACTCATTGATTTGAAAAGTTGATTAAGTAGGCTTTAAAATCAGCTACTTATTACCTTGGCTATAAAAGTATTTTCCTAAGAGTGTGGGAATTTGTTTTATATCTGAGGGACATAATGAATGGATAAAGTAACTTAAAAATGTGTTGTCAAAGGAGATATTTAAGGTTGGAGAGACAAGAGCTTATTTGAATATGGATAGGAACAATACAATTGATAAGAAAATGGTTGAGTAAATGAAGGGATGGTCAATTGTGAGATTGTGAGGAGCAGGGGCAATGTAGAAGCTCAGATTTGGGCTGAGATAGATGGAGACACTTCTGTTGCAGAAAGAATGGAAATCACATTTGTGTGGATGTTGGTAGGGTTAGTAGCAGGAAATTGGAATTCTTCTTTTATGGCTTTAGTTTTCTCTGTAAGTTTGAAAAGGATGGTCACCTGCTGAAAGTGACATGGATCAAAAGTTTAAAAAAGTAATCAAGATTCAAAATAAAGGAGAGCGGGAATGACCTATCAAACCTAGAATTTCTGAGTAATCTTAAGTATGAATTTGGAGTTTAATAATCATGAACTTATGGTACTAATCTCTTCTGCTTTGGGACTATCTCTAGTAGTGCCTTGCTGTTCGGTTAAGTACAGACAAAGCAGGTACGTGATAGAATACATCCAAAGCTGAGATTCTGCTAAAAGAAAGGGAAAATGGGTGAATATAAAATTTTGGCATATAAAACGATTTATATAATCTGAATAAAAATAGGATAGTGCCAATAAAATAAGCATAGATTTATATAAATGTTATGGATATAAAAACGGAACAGTTGTGACTTTTGGTATAACTGCTTGAAGATAGTCCTATTTTTGCTATTAAAAAATAGCATCTATTTGTTAAAAATTAGATGCTATTTTTATGGTGCTATTTTGTGAAGATCTATGGAAGGGATAAGTAGATCAAAGGAGTACCTGCTAAGTACCAGATACCATGTTAAGCACTTATTAAAATGTCGTATTATGTATCCTAACAATATAATATAAATAATTATTAATCCCAATTTATAAAGAAACACAGATTGGCAAGATGATTGGGTAGTTTACCTTATGTTCCATAGGAAGTAAGAAATGAAACAGATTTGTTCCAGACTCTGCACTACTACCTTCCCTTTTAAAGAGAATTTTATATCACTGAAGACGGAACTTGGGGTAGCCATAGTTAGCTAGGTTGGCATGTATTAACAGAGAGCATCTTAGAACTTTTGAGTTAGTTAATCACTCAAGACATTCCTTTATCTAAGAACCAGTAAATTTTTTTGTGAAATTTTTTTTGGTTTTTTTTTTTTTTTTTGAAATTTCTTTTTGTGTATGGTATGTAGCTTACGAATCAGTGCGTGATACATCTTTGAATGAATTTAACACTTCTAATTATTTCAAATAAGATTGCTTTAGAGCATCCATGAATTAATTTAAAATATGTTGATTTGTTTGTCATTAGAAAAGGACTACAGCAGTGCCTGGGTGGCTCAGTCAGTTAAGCATCCAACTCTTGGTTTTGATTAAGGAGGTCATGATCTCACAAGTCTGGATATCAAGCTCCGAGTGGAGCTCCCTGCTCAGTGGAGAGTCCACTTGAAGATTCTCTCACTTTGTCCCTCCCCTGACTCATGCACAAGTGTGTGTGTGTGTGTCTGTGTCTGTGTGTGTACACATGCTCTCTAAAATAGATCTTTATATTAAAAAAAAAAAAGACTACATATTTAGGAATATCTCTGTTTCACAGCTAGCTGATTATTTTTATCAAGCACTCCTGGGAAGTGGAAAGTGAATTATGTACTCAAATGTTTTAGTTTTTTGATCAAAAAGAAAACATTAAAATTTCAGATATATAAATTAATATGATTCATAGTAGTTCAGTAGTGCTTTTCTTTAGATTCATTATTTCCTTATTGCAAGTCATTAATTTGTCATATATGGTGAAAGTATTTTTTTCAATGTGTATACATCTCTACATCTGTATTTTATTAATTAAACATATTAAACAATCTTTCCTTTCAAACTGTTAAAAGACTCAAATCTCTGAATCTGAAGAACAACTTGCATAGTTACTCAGTTAGGTACTGTAAAACAAATTAGGATAACAAAACATAGAAGCAGATGTCCATAGAAACAGATGTCCTAATAATAGCCAACTTATTTCCTTTCACAGATTATTTGTGTGCTAGTTGTTTGTATCCTGCCTTTTTAATGGCTTTTGAGTCTAGAAATTATGTGCTATCTCATTTTCAAAATGACGAAAAAAAAATGACAAAAAGAATCTAAGCATTTTTACGAAAAGGATACCTTATTTCAGTTTCCAATATAATATGAATACTTACAGTTGTAAAAATACAAAAATTGGCATGATTGTTTTGTCATCCTTTACAGTTAAAACCTGTTAACATCTTTGTATTTTTACCATATGTACTTAAGTTGGAAGTATAAAAATTATTAATGTCTAATTTTAGATATAGTTTCAAAAAATGTTCATTTTTTTTTATTTAAGGACAAACACTACTTATAAGTTCTAGCTTGTTCTCACCTTGGTGACATTCATCCTGATATTTATTGTTATTGTCCCTAAGTTGCATTCTTTAGGTTTAAATTAGTATTGCTTACAGTATTATTAAAAATGGTCCACCAATACATTATTCAGATTAAATGATAAAGTATTTGGGTTTAACTTTTGAACGTTTATATATTTTTTTTAATTTATTAAAATATCCTTTTTCTTTGTAGGCACTTTGTTTGATGGCGTTACCATTTATTCCTGCATCGAACCTTTTTTTCCCAGTTGGATTTGTTGTTGCTGAGCGAGTATTATATGTTCCTAGCATGGGGTTCTGTATTTTGGTAGCCCATGGATGGCAGAAAATATCAAACAAAAGGTGAATCAAAATGTTAGTTCATTTAATGCTTACTAACTATAGAATTAAGTGTTTAAAATGTTTATTAGCTCAGTTATATAAGTTTTTTATACCTTTTTGTTTTTCATCTTGTCTTCTCATTTTTCTGTAGTTGAAGTTAGGGAAGCTCCATAGCACCCACCTCATTCTATATTCTTCTTATTTATACAATTTTATTGGACAGCCTGTGACATAACAAACTTTGAGTTAGACCCAAATGAAAACAAGGATATTGTTGAAACTGAAGTTGTAAATGACCATTGCCACTTCCATATAACTAAGATATAGTCTCTTACTTAAGTCATATTGAGTTAATATATATAAATACATAAAGTAAGCAGTCTACAATTTCTTGACATCATCAGTATCTGCATCATAACCACCACGTCCTAGTTGCTTTAAACTAACAAGGAACAGAATAATCACACTGTATATATGGATGAAATGGTCACTGACTGCTTTCTCACTTTCCGGTCATCCTTCAACCTACAGAATTGACTTGTCTCTACATCATTGGCTCCTGGTAGCTAAATCCAGTCAGTGCTTGTATTTAAATTTATTTCCCTGGCATCTGTAAAAAGTCTGTTTCCTAATTCTCTTCCATGTCTGCTCATTGCTGCTCAGTCCCTACTCACAGTCTTCTTGCTATACCTGCTCTTTAAGGATTTTTTATTTGCCAGACTTTTACTCAACAGCGTATTTTTTTCTCACACTGCGTATTCTCCCTGGATCGTCTCATCCATGTGTATAATTTTCACTAACATCTACCAAGCTTTTTCTCTTTTAACTTCTACCCATATATCTAATTTTAATCAGTACCAATTTTTGGGTCCTTACCATGTGCCATGTGCCAAGAACCATGATAGATCCTTGAGATTTGTTTTTTCATTTACCTAAACATTTCTTAACTCTGTTGTGCATGTTTGAAAATTGAAGCTCATATAGGTTACTTGAATCAGGTTACCTCAAGACACAGCTAGTAAACAGAATTTTGATTCAGATTTATATCTGACTGCTTCCAGTGTCCGTGTTCTTTTTTTTATTATTATTATTTTTTAAATAGGCTCCACGGTCCATGTTCTTTCTGATCCATGCACTCTTATCTTGATTAAATGGATCTCTAGGGATCCCTGGGTGGCTTGGGGGTTGAGCCTCTGCCTTTGGCCCAGGGCGGCGTAATCCTGGAGTCCCAGGATTGAGTCCCACGTTGGGCTCCCTGCATGGAGCCTGCTTCTCCCTCTGCCTGGTCTCTGCCCCTCTTTCTTTCTCTCTCTGTGTCTCTCATGAATAAATAAATAAAATCTTAAAAAAAAAAAAAAAGTGGATCTCTCAAAATGGAAGAAGTTGAACTGTGTTACTGAGACAAAAACACAGATTCACAGAACATTGGTACTAAATGAGACTGTAGGGATTATTGAATTACAAGTTGCTTATAGATGAGGAATTGAGCCCTAAATAATTAGCTTACAACTATATAAGTAATTTGAATCTATTTCGTAAAGAGTTGGTTTTACTGTTAGTTGTAATAATTCTAGCTTTAAAATGTGAAATTATTCCAAGAGTGTCATGATAATCTATGGTATAGATACAATCTGTGTAAGCCAATTTTTTAGAAATATAGCCAATGACAAGACTGACCCTTGATAAATACAGGTAAGAATATTCAAGTTATAAGTAAAGGCCTCAAAAAGGAAAAGTCACAGTTAAAAATCGGTTTGTCAACTTTTTTTCACTATATGTAAACAGTTTTTGAAATAGATGCAAATATTGGAGTATTTCATATAATTAAGACTGAAGTAGAAGGTAATATGTGTAATATCTAAATTTTTTTGGTGGTGTTCCCATTAAAATTAGATGACTATTAGAGTGATCCTCATTCCTTACAATAAACTCAAAGGTGTTATTTGTGAATATTTAACATACTTCTTACCTCTCTTCTAAAAAATAAAATCATTCTGATGATGTAAACAATGTTTTTTCTTTTGTTTTGCTTTTTTCTCTTAAACAGTGTATTAAAAAAGTTATCCTGGGTTTGTCTGTCTATGATGATATTCACTCATGCCTTAAAAACACTCCACAGAAATTGGGATTGGGAATCTGAATATACATTGTTTATGTCAGCTTTGAAGGTAAAGTATCATCCAGAATGACAGGAAGGTATCTCATTAATGATTTCTGATAGCCATGTCTAAGATGTTTTTACATTTAATTAGACATTTTACTGTCAATTTTAAGTACTTCTCCAAAAGTTTAGTAAAAATACTTTGTTCTTTATATATTATATACCATAACCAGTGCTCTGAATAGCACTTAGTTGGTATGTCTACAGCATATATGAATAATTCCTTAAATGCTATACAGTTGTTAGAAACTGAAATGATAATACAATGTTTAAATAAGAAATACTATATATAGTTCATTTGTTCTGAAGCTGCATTCTTTTTAACCTTTAAATGTCTCTAAATTAGAATCAATAAATGTTACAGTGAGAGGCATCTTACAATTAGTGTCTCTTTTGTTTTCTTAATGATGAGTCTTAGGCACACCTAGGTGGCTCGGTGATTGAGCATCTGGCTCTGACTCAGGGTGTGATCCCCAAGTCCAGTGCCTCAATCCCTGCGTGCCACTGCTCTTCACCACCCCCCATCCCACCCCACCCCCGCACCCTGCATCGGGCTTGCTTCTCCTTCTGCCTACGTCTCTGCCTCTCTTTCATGAATAAATAAATAAAATCTTTTAAAAAAAATGGTTAGTCTTAGTATTGATAATAGCATCTTAGACTCACTGAAATAAAATACTCAACAAAAAATGGCATATTTACTATATGGAAGAAAACCAAGGTTATAATACTGTAGGAAAGATAGGAACTGGCAGAAAGGCGTGATAAAGAATTTCTGTAGAATGGACAAGATACATGAATAAGGTCTTTTTAAAAACCGTAAAATTTGGTTTCTGTAAAAGTTATAAGCAATGTTTTTTTTTTCAGGTGTTTCTCTTCAAATCTCTAAATTCTTCATTTGGCTATTTCTGTACTCCTCATTGCTTGGCTTTACTGGAATACTGCCTCAGTCCTATAGTCTCTGTGACTTCTTGATTTGGCATCAGTTTAAGATCACTTGACTATCCTTTTGTCCCACTCAGTAACTCCACTCCCTCTTCTAGTTCAGAAGTCTGTAAACAAAAGAGACCTCATTACCATTCTTCTTAATATGCACTCCTGGAACACCAACAGAGTCCCATAATTTTCAAGAACTTTGCTTATCCTTTATCCTAGGACAATCTCAAAACCACAGTCCCGCTCACTGAAATTAGTTCCTTGGCCAGGTACTATCTTTACCCCACAAGAACATCATGCCCATCTGTGAGCTCTTAAAGCATAGATTAATTTAGAACTTTAATCCCAGGTTTTCCATTACCATAAGAAACTATGTAAGTAGCTTTATAACAAGCCTAAAAAGAAGTAGTAAGTGCAATATTAAACATATTCTCATATTCAAATACCTTGTCTCCTAAAAAAAATACAAATAGTAGAACAGGAGTTTTCAAACAGCACAAGGGTTGTTTTTGTTTGTTTGCTTGTTTGTTTGTTTTTAAGTAGGTTCTATGCCCAATGTGGGGCTTGAACTCAAAACTCTGAGATCTAGAGTTGCATGATCTTACTGACTGAGCCAGCCAAGAAAACCCATGATGCTTTGATCAAATAAAATTTTTAATAAAATGCTAATATATCAAATAGATGAAATCAGACTGCTATGGTTTTAATATGTTTATGTCAAGAGAAAGGAGAGTAAATTTAGTGAAACTTCATTTGGCTCCTTTCTCATCTCCAGAGACACCTCCATGGAACACTCCATTCCTAATAATACACCAAACAAATCCCTTTGTTAATTGCAGGTATATATGCAATTTTTTCTTTTCTGAGAGAAAATTGGAATTATCTTTCAAGTTTTATTGAGGTATAATTGATATAACTTTGTATTAGTTTAAGGTATACAACATGATTTGATATGTATATATTGCAAAATAATTACAATCTGTTAACTTCTGGTACCTCACATAGGTACGGTTATTTTCTTTTGATGAAAATTTCGAAGATCTACTCTCTTAGCAACTTCTATATATACATTACAGTATTGTTAACTAATAGTCCCCATGCTGTACACTGCATTCACAGAACTTATTTATCTTATAACTGAAAGTTTGTATCTTTGACCACCTTCACACATTCATGACTATCTCTCTGGAACACTCCATTCCTTTTTTTTTTTTTTTTTTAAACATTTTTATTTTTATTTATTTATGATAGTCACACACACACAGAGAGAGAGAGAGAGAGAGAGAGAGAGGCAGAGACATAGGCAGAAGGAGAAGCAGGCTCCATGCACCGAGAGCCTGACGTGGGATTCGATCCCGGGTCTCCACGATCGCGCCCTGGGCCAAAGGCAGGCGCCAAACCGCTGCGCCACCCAGGGATCCCCTGGAACACTCCATTCCTAATGATAAATAAATATCTGTGTTAATTGGAGTTGTATTTTTTAACTGTAATTAATTTCTATATGCTTATATGTTTAAGGTAAATAAAAATAATGCCAAATTATGGAATAATGTGGGTCATGCTCTGGAAAATGAAAAGAACTTTGAAAGAGCTTTGAAATACTTTTTACAGGCTACCCATGTTCAGCCAGGTAAGCATTATTTAATTAATAAAACTATTCAATTAGCTTCTTTTTAAAAACTTGATCATATTGGGGATAATAAGATAGAGTTTCAAATTTCATTCCAGGTGATTTGAATATAGTGTTCGATGCTGGCTTATTTTGAATTAGATTATATATTAGAGCGATTTAGACTTTTTTTTTTTTTAACATAGCAGAGCTGGGTAGTACTGATGAGCAGTTTTGGTGGAGTGGTAGATGCAAAAGCCTGAGAAGAGTGCGTTGGGTAGAGTGAGGGAAGAATAATTTGAAACAGTTAGTATAGAAAACTCTTAATAAAGAGTATCGGTGAAGAATGGTGGTATTGCTGGGAATGGTGTCAAGAGAAGGTAAGTAGGATAATAGGGTGGTTTGTTTGTTTTTTAATTCTTAAGGTGAGAGAAACAGCATATGTGCAGCTAATCCATTGAGGCTGGGAAAAGTAATTCTAGATGGGGGTACAAATTACTGGATCTGTATCCTTAAGTAGATGAGAAGAGATAAATAGAATTTGGTGCACAGAATAAGGACTTCATTTTTAGAATTGTTAAAGTATGGTAACAAACCAGGCAAAGTACATGGATATGGATATAGGCAGTCAAGTAGATGACCTGGAGGAAGTTTCTGGAAGTTGTCTTCTGTTTGCTTCTGTTTCCTCATTGAAATAGAAAGCAGAATCATCAAAGAGTGAGGAGGGGTCAAAATTATGGAGCTCTAAGAACAGGAGAAGGTATGAATTAGCCATCTAGGGCAGTGCTTCACAGACTTTATTGTGCCCGTGAATCACACGGTGATATTATAGGCACATTCTGACAGATAGAGGTTTAGAGTAGATCCTGAAGTTCTGCATTTCTAATAAGTTCCTGGGTGATGTTTAGCCCATGGATCACACTTTTGGAAACAAGATCTAGTAAAGTGTATAGACTAGGAAAATGTTGTACAGTTGCCAAGCAATTTTGACACTCTACTTGAGGTTAGGAATACTTTATTTAAAATTAAACTAGTCGATGCAGTTATATGCTGTTCTCTTATTACATTACAGCTGCAATGGTACAGACAGTGGAGAATTCAGTTAAACAAAATTAGGACTTTTTAAAATGTGTTATTAAATGAGAAATGGATAAGGAAATGATTATAATGGATGAATCTAAGTTAAGGGAGGTGAGACAGGGTGGTAGGATCAGTGAGTTATAGATCTGAATTGTTGGTATCTAAGTAGGATCTAGCTAGAGCATCAGTCTTTTTCAAGAGGAATGCTATTGGCATTTTGAGTGTATAGAACTGTATTTCAGGATATATATGAAACATGGCCCTCATCCATGGTTATTATTTTCTATTCAGAATGATGACCAAAAGATACTCTCTCCTCCTCTGAAACCCTGTCACATTTCTAAATATCCTCAGAAAAGCCGAGAGTGGCAAGCAATACCCACTATTTGTCTACAAGATATGACTGTGGCCATTGCACTAACTAGTGAAAAGAGGGCAGAAGTGAAAATCATTGGAGGAAAGGATATCAAAGGCCAAATATTAGAAAATCTGACTTTGTAGATTTTGAAACCACTAAGAATTAAGAGAACCATGAGCCAGGAGCTATGACCCAGAGAATGGTGACTGCGACAAGGAGAGATAGTGGATAATAGAGTTTAATGACCTGAAATTCAGAGACAAGTGATTTTAAGAAGGACCAAGAGTTGTCTGGAAGTGTTAAAGATCACTGAGGACACCTAATCTACCTCCAGACCCAGTGTTGCAAAGAATAAGAAAAAGAACATAGTCATTATGTGGAATAGCTACATGTAAGAAAAAAAAAACACACACACATTCCTGAGGCAAAGCCAAATTTCACTTAGACAAAGGTGAAGAGAAAGTTGTAAAAATAAAACTGATGGTCTAGCTTTTCAATTTTATCTCCCCTAGCTCTGTATGTATCTTGGGCTTCCTCACACCTTTACCTTTGTTGATGTTCTTCCTTGAGTCTAGAATTCCTTCCCTCTTCTTTGCCATCCACCTTCTACCATCTATTACAACCCATCTCACGTGGCTTCTCTTTAAAAAACCTTGCTACCTCTCCAATAAGAAGCAAATATTTTTAATCTTTTTTTTAAAGGATTTTTTAAAAAAGATTTTGAGAGAGCTTGAGTGCATGGGCTCGTGAGCAGGGGGATGGGCAGAGGAGAAGCAGACTCTCCCTTGGGCAGGGAGCCAGATGTCGGGCTCGATCCAGGACCCTGAGATCATGACCTGAGCTGAAGGCAGAAACTTAATCCAACTGAGCCACCCAAGCATCCCTTTTTTTTAATCTTTAAAACCTCTTACAATTTCTTCTGTATCTTTCATATAATATTTGTAACTTTCTGTTTAATATTGTGTTGTATTTATTTAAAATATGTATTTAAGCTAAAGAGCTCCCTAGAGATAGCATGAACATCTGATTTATCTTCATACCCCCTGAATCATCTAGCATGGTCTTATACACAGTCAGCATTCACTAATTATATTTTATTTATTTATTTTTTTATTTTTTGAGAGAGAGAGAGCACTGGTGGGGGTCGTTTGGGGAAGAGGGAGAGAGAAAATCTTAAGCAACCTGAAATGACCTGAGCCAAAATCTAGAGATATATGCTTAACCAGCTGAGACACCCCAGCATTCCAATGTTCACTAATTTTATTCTTTCAAAAGTCTTTTAGGTTCATTCTATGAGTATTTAGAGAAGCAGAGTGATCTTTGACATCAGACATAGAGGGACTTTATTTTTTTTTTTAAGATTTTATTTATATATTCATGAGAGACACATAGAGGCAGAGTCATAAGGAGAAGCAGGCTCCTCACAGGAAGCATGATGCAGGACTTCATCCCAGAATCCCAGGATCACAACCTGAGCCGAAGGCAGATGCTCAACCATTGAGCTACCCAGGTGTCCCCATATAGGGACTTTCAAACCTAGAAGATGTTATTTAGGCCCTTTCCACCTTATTTTTATCATTTCTAAATTGGGACCATAGTTTTATCTTATTGCATTGTTTTAAAGAGTAAATGGTGTGGGTGGGTATGTAGAATCATATTTAGTTTTGTCTGGCAAATAGTGTATATCACTGGCTTCTTGGCAGATGTAAGCACTCAGCTTTAAAATATTTTTTCACCTCGTCAGTTGTCACTTTTTGCTGTTTTTGAGAGACTTACTGAACTTTAGTATGACTTCTTACCATACTGTCGAAACTGCTATTTCTCATAAACCATGGACTAGGAAAACAGGTAAACCAGTTTATTATAATTTATTGTGAAAAAGTACATAATGTTAGAGACATTGAATTTGGTATTCACAGGCATCTTGGGTTGTTCTGTTTTTTAGCCATATTCTTCATAGATTCAATAGATGAAATGACATGCATGGAGGGACATCAGTAGTCTTTTTTGTCACTGTTAGACATACACAGATTTATAAGACTGGAGGTAAGGGAAAAGGTCAGGACAGGAGGTAAAAATTTGAAGTAACATGTATATAGGTATTTAAAAACTTGAGGCAGATGAGTGCTGGGTGTTATACTCTATGTTGGCAAATTGAATTTAAATAAAATATTTTTTTAAAAAATAGCCTTACTCTTGGGGGGAAAAATAAAATTACAAAATAAAAATTTGGGACAGTTTAGTAGGAGTACACAGAGTAGGGATTCATAACATTTTAAAGGTAATTTTCAAAAACACACACAAAAAAACATTCAATCTGAAGGTATTTTGTTTTTTGTTTGGTTTTTTTTTGTTTTTTTTTTTTTTTTTTTTGCTTAACCAAAATAAGAAGATAAACTATGCAGTGGTCTGACTGGGTGGCATGCGTGTTGTGTTTAAAAGAAAGAGAGAAAGAGAGGGAGAGAAAGAAAAAGAAAGAGAGAGAGAAAGAAAGAAAGAAAGAAAAAGGGAGAGAAAGAGAAAGGGAGAGAAAGAAAAAGAAAGGGAGAGAGAGAAAGAAAGGGAGAGAGAAAGAAAGGGAGAGAGAGAGAAAGATTGTGATTTTTGTTTTATTTTGATGGTTTACAAGTGTTTTAAAAAATCCCAATTCACAAAGATAAAATTTTTACAAATGTAATTACAGTTTCCATAAACATCTTTACAAGACAAGGGTAGGTTTTTTTCAAGGAACACCAGCATTCTGAAGGATTTGTTTTGCTTTAAAATCATTGATTTCACTTTTATCTAAGTACAAATCTTTGAACTATGTGAGAAAAAATCATAGACCTGTAGTTCAACTTTAATGCTATAATATGGAAATGAGTTTTAAAGATTTTCTGGTTTCAGATGTTTATAAATTTATCTTTTTAAGTAAATTGACATAATTTTATAGATAAGAGACTGGAAAGCAACATAGGTAGGTGCCTGGGCCACGAGTGTGAGAATGCTTAACTTATTGGTGGTAGATGAAGATGTATTAGGCACAAAGTTGCCTAGTACTTGCAGTCCTCATTTATGTTGAATAAAACAGTGCTAGACTGATGCTATTAGTTTGTTATTATAACAAGATGGTTCGATGAAATTCTATAGCTTTTTAGTCCTTTAAATGTCATTGCTTTTTATATCTTGCCTGTTTTTCTTACCCCCCCCCCCTTTTTTTTTCCAAATTTAAATTTATCTTACCGTAGTAATGGTTACTTCCTTCTCTGGAATCTTAAAACTTTGTAAATTACAAGAAATTTCTTAGAAACTATGTCTTTCACTCTATTAGCTGTTAAGGTATATAGTCCTTTTGATGCTTAAGATTATCTTATTGCTATTTTAGTTCTTTGAGAAAGTAGGGCTGCCTTACTCTGGTGTCTGAATTCTTCATTGATGACAGTATCTCCTTGCCATAATTTTAAGAACCTGATTCCGGTGAATATTAATTTGCCTTGTCTTTCATCTAAGTAGATAACCTCTTTCTTTTCTAAGATTTGTTGGGGCAAATATTACTGATGTCAGTAACATTTTAAATACTTGGCTGATAATTTTATTTATCTAAACTTCCAGTTTCTTTGTTCTTTCCTTAGGTTAAATTCTTACTTTATATTAAGTTTTTTCAGGTTCTCCATAGTTTTACCTAAGTTACTTAGGTAGATCTACTGGTATAGGTTTAGCTGATGTTTAAAAAAAAAAAAAAAAAACTGTGTAAGAGCAAAGACCTACCTACTCTTTTTCTACACATTCTGTAATACAGTGAATTTCAACCTTGGCTCCACATTAGAACTGTCTTTGAAACTTTTTAAACACTTTTGCAGATCCTATTTCTTTGGATTCTATTTCAATAGAGCTGAGTGGCGCTAAGGTTACCTGAATTTTTAAAATACCTACGTATCCAGATTTGCAGCTAGAATTGGAAATGGTTTCCCTGAGCATTTTTTTTCCTTGACCTTTCCTGAAACCCCATTAGACTCAGCAATACGTCAACAAAATATCAACAAATCAAAAAATCAACAACAAAAATGAATCCTGTCTCTGAGTTCTCTAACCAAACCTGTATTGCCTGTGACAGTTCCTCTTCAGTGCACACACAATTACTAGTCTGAAACATAGTGTGGCAAGATCTTAAGACTGTTAACTCTTCACCTAGGGGTATATGCTTGGCTCCCATCTGTCCTAGGAGTTCCAGGCAGAGAACCATTCCACAATTGCAAAATCATGGTGTCACAGGCAAGTAGTAATTGTGTCTTGTCTGTTAGAGATTCACATGCAATAAAATTTGTCTGATTTAAGATCTTCTTCCATCTTTACTCCAAACCTTTGAAATAGTTACTGGGAAATGTGTCCTAAAAGTAGTGTGCAATGAATCCTAATATCTTCCTTATTTAAATAGCGTATTTTTCTGTCCCTGAAAAAATTTGCTGATTATTTGAGTCTCCATATCAGAAAATTAGACAAATTTTCTGACATATTGATAGTATCACAGCCTTTTTAAAAAGTTAAAAACACACAAATGCATTAAAAAAAAACATACGTTAAGAATTTATCATTTAAGAGAGATGGGCTGCTGCATCTTAAGTAATACTGGAGAATCCTGGTATTTTATTATACTTGCATTACAACCACAATCAAAAGAATTTTAAAATCACAAAATTTTCTTTACCCGTGTCCCACCATAGCACATTTTGTTAGTTAAAATACTGGAAATAATTCTACGAATCATGCTAATTTTTTTCACTTTTAGACTTGAGCCATACTTTTTGAATAAATTCCAGAGCTCTGAAATCAATGAAATGGAAGCAAGTCTTATAGTAAAATCTAGTGAAGAGAAATGATACAAATTTCTTTATTACCTCTACTTCTCTTGACATGTCTTAGCATTTCAAGGATCCATTCAAATAATTTTTTCATGACGTGTACATTTTCTGTCCTTACAGTACTTTATTACATAATTTTCTAGTGTAGCATTGATCATCAATTATACCAAATTGTGTTAGGAGAACTTTAAGGAGGATGTAGGACCTGTTGCCTGCTTTTGCATTTTTTTTGCCTGTTGTTGCTAGAAACATGTAGTTTACATTGAATATTTTTTAGTATATTTGCCAACAAATGATTTTTTTAAAAATCTTAGATGATATTGGTGCCCACATGAATGTAGGAAGAACTTACAAAAATTTAAATAGAACCAAAGAAGCTGAAGAATCTTACATGATGGCTAAGTCACTGATGCCCCAGGTAAGTTGTTATAATTTATTCCTATTGTGTTACATCTGCTCTATGTACATATTGAATAGAGTTACCTAGATAGGAAATCCTTATCTTTTCTTCAATTGGCTGATAGTAAAGTATCCAATAAACCGTTTCTGACTACAAGGGTTTTTTTTAAAGCTTTTATTTAAACTCATTAACAGCGTAATATTAATTTTAGATGTACAATGTAGTGATTGAATACTTCCATACAAGTGCACTCCTTAATCCTCATCACCTACTTCACCGCCCCCACTCCCCCACCACACACACATCCCCAACCTCCCCTCTGGTAGCTATCAGTTCTCTGTAATAAAAATCTGTTTCTTAGTTTCTCTATTTTTTGCTAGTTTGTTTTGTTTCTTAAATTCCACATATAAATGAGATCATATGGTATTTGTTTTTCTCTGACTTATTTCACTTAGCATAATACTACAAGTTTTATAAAGGATTACATTTACTTTTCTAATTCATTTAATTAAAAAAATTTCTGGGGCAGCCCCAGTGGCCCAGTGGTTTAGTGCCGCCTTTGGCCCAGGGTGTGATTCCAGAGACCTGGGATTGAGTCCCACGTCAGGCTCCCTGCACAGAGCCTGCTTTTCTCTTTCTCTCTGTCATGAATAAATAAATAAAATCTTTTAAAAAATTTTTTAAAAAAATGTAGAGTATGTTTAAAAAATTTTGTAAAGTTATGAATTTTAGATATTCTTGATTAGAAGTTACCAGTGAATTAAGTGACTTTAAAGAGAAATTTATATATGCATATTAAACACTAAATTCAACATAACTATCAAAATAAATGAATAAAGCAAAGTAATAAAATGAATGAATACATGTCTGTTGTATGTTCAGTTGTTACAATGAAACATGCAAAAGATTCATTCATTGGCTGTTACAGTAGACAGTAGAAGTTGTAAAGTTAGATTCTGGCCTTGACCAGCTGTGCTTCATCAGAAAAGATAGTTTACCCTGCACTACAGTTTTCTCAATGGTAGTGTATATTAATATTATGTTAATAGTAATGATAGTATTAAAATGATTGGATATAGTTTGATAAATGTTTTAAAAACAAAGTTGGACCACATGATATCTTAAGCATTATTTCAATCCTAAGATTCTTGGGATTCCTGGGTGGCGCAGCAGTTTAGCGCCTGCCTTTGGCCCAGGGCGCGATCCTGGAGACCCGGGATCGAATCCCACATCGGGCTCCCTGCATGGAGCCTGCCTCTCCCTCTGCCTATGTCTCTGCCTCTCTCTCTCTCTCACTGTATGCCTATCATAAATAAATAAAATAAAATAAAATAAATTCAATCCTAAGATTCTAAAGTTAAATTGTGTTCAGTATGGATTTTTATCAATATACTATTTTCACTGAAAATCTGGGTCTATGTGTATTTTATAACCTTTGCTTAACCTGAATAATCAGTTGATAAGAGAATTTTATTTCCTAACTCAACCAGACAAGTGAGGCTTTAGTATAAGTCTGAATAAAGTTAACCACCCTCTTGTCACAACCAGGAGTTATTTCACTGACAACATGAAAGTTGACAGTCTAATGTAACAAATACACTAGACTGAGGGGAAAGAGACCTGAATTCTTTGTATTAATGGTCAGATGCAAATATACTAACAGACCTTAGAGTCAAAAATTTAGATTTATAGGACTTTTAAAAAGATGCATATAAATGAAAAGCTAACAATATTCTGTTGAACTAGTTTGAATGAGGAATATATCCTTTGATGCCACAAAATATTATTTTATTTACATTTTGTAAGTATTGCAAGTGCTTTCACATTTTTATGACTTACTTCAATTTGGCAATAACTTATTCCATAACCTTTTTCTGTCATGTATATTTTAGGTAAGCCACTAGGAATACTTATTTTTAATTTTTATTTGGTACTGAAATATCAAATTATGTTCTCCTGAACAGATTATTCCTGGTAAAAAATATGCGGCCAGAATTGCCCCTAACCACCTAAATGTTTATATTAATCTGGCCAATCTGATCCGAGCAAATGAGTCCCGGCTGGAAGAAGCAGATCAGCTATACCGACAAGCAATAAGCATGAGACCTGACTTCAAGCAGGCTTATATTAGCAGGTATTGTAGTTCTCTTTAAGCTATCATTATAGAAAATTGAAGCTGCATCTGCATGTACGTTTTGGCTATGTGAACTAACTTGGCTTTTTTTTTCTTTTAGTAATCTTAATTGGCAACCCCAAATATAGAAACATAGTCAAGTTTAGACTTTGTGTGTGTGTGTGTGTGTGTGTGTGTGTAGTTTAGACTTAAGATCAAATTTAATTGATTTGATTAGAAACTGACAACGGAGTCTGTAAGGTGTAGTATAGCAAACTGATGTTTTAGGTTTTATATGAAAGAAAGGGTAGGAGCGTCTTAGTTTCATTTGCTTCTTATGGTCATGTTCATTTTTAATTAAAACACCTGAAACTTATATTTCATAATAATTATTTCTGATATCCAACTCTCAAGAGTTTGTTGACAATTGACTGGTTACTGATGCTTTTTAACACAAAGAAACTTTTTAGTTGTCAGTAAAAAAAAGTTTTGGCATCACATATTAGAGAGAAGATGATATATTTTCCCATGGAAGGATTATCATTTATATTATACTTGAGGAAAATTGTATGTTGAACTTCATTTTATAGCCTGGCCCAGATACCTAATTGTAATTTATAACATTGCTCCTATGGGGAAAATGCATTCAGAATTCAGTAGTTTTTGAGATAAAATCTGTTCATAACTTGGATGCTGTCTTTGTTCAGCCTTATCCAGTAGTTGAAATTAGCTAAGTTTAGTGGGGTTGCATATATAAATAAAACCTGTTAAGTGTTAATCTATGAAGAATTATCCTATAAACTCCATTTAAAAAAAACATTTTGGACAAGCATTCATTCCAGAAGTTACTTTAATTGAGAATATTGGTAGTTCATTTTATTTCTTTTTTATGCTAATACTTAAGGAAATAATAGTATCATAATAAAAGTAACTCCTATCACTACTCAAATTGATTTGCACATATGGACTTGTTTAAGCTAACAGAAAATAGAACCATATTAGAAAGATTTAAAAATGGTTTTCAAAACGTGATCCTCAGTTCCGGATATATATCTCATAGGTATCTGCTGGTCACATGAGGGCCCTCCAACCCTACCCCATAAGCTTTTTAAATTATTTTTTTATTGTTTTGGGGAGTTTTTTGTTTTGTTTTAATGAATGGCCATTTTATAAGAATACACTGTAGAAGACTAAATTTATATAAGAAAAGACAAGATTTTTCAGATGTTCTCTTTATAAATGAGACTTCTAATATGAATTCGAATACTGGATGTTTCCTGTCACCACCGTATTTGTATTTGTATTCCTTCTTCAAATGCTATTATTTGATCACCTGAAAAATTGATCTCCATTCTTGTTACTGATGTAGTCTAGCTTAGTCTACCTTCTTTCAAGATGCACTTAAAGAATGTTTCTCTGCTCTCCTTTCTTGGATACCTCTTCATATATTACCCTTTAAAATCAGATATGCTTTTTCCTCCTTTGATAATATTTGAAAACAAATTTGCTAAACTAATGAGTTGAGGTTTGTGAACACATTTAGATAGTTATTTTTGGTAAAAAACTTTAAAAGCCTAGGTTAAAAGGAAAACTATGAATATGTGGAAAAGCTTAAAACGTGTGAAAAATAGTATCTACCAGTTGACATGGTAATGTTGTGAGTAAAGCTTGTGTTTGATTTTTCTACAGAGGAGAATTGCTTTTAAAAATGAATAAACCTCTTAAAGCGAAAGAAGCATATCTTAAAGCACTAGAGCTGGACAGAAATAATGCAGATCTTTGGTACAACTTGGCAATTGTTCATATTGAACTTAAAGAACCAAATGAAGCCCTAAAAAATTTTAATCGTGCTTTAGAACTAAATCCAAAGCATAAGCTAGCATTATTCAATTCTGCTATATTAATGCAAGAATCAGGTATGTTTTCTCAAAATGTTTATTTAAACATATTGTTTAAAATAATAAAACCTGAGCTTACATTACCTGTAGTAAACGTTTTCTGAATGAATAGGTTATGTCAAAACTGTACATAAATAATTTGTAAGAATATTTTAAATACTTGATGTACCGTTTTCAAGTTAGATGCTCTAACACAATTGTTAGTTCTTTGGGTATATGTTAAGACTTATTTTTCAGTCTATTAAGCAGTGCATTTTTAGTCTGTTTTGTCATTTTATGTACAGAAATAGATAATCTCCAAATAACCAGAACTTGCACAATTTTTTATATAATTATTTCTAGGGAGACAAGAGTTATTATATGTTTTAGGGAGAAAAATGTATTTTCTCTTGATTCATAAGACCATGTGCTTTTGGTATCATTTTATATTTAGTTTTATTTTCTGAGATATTACTGTAATTCCTATAATTTAACAAAACTAAACCATTCATGACAATAAATTAGGATCAGAAAGCAATATATATAATTTTAATTTTTAGATTGGAAAAAATTTCCATTTTGTAGTTAAATCTTAGATACTTTTTAAAAACTTTTACAAAAAAATGAATCATAAGGTTGTGGTATTTAAGGTAAGAAGGGCATTTGATTTTACTTTTAAACTCAGTCTTCTATTTAGTTTATTAAAGTGAGGACCAAATAGATCTAATAACTACTCCAAATTTCATGTGGCTAGTTTAGTAACTAGTTCAAATAAGAATTTATGCCGACTGGTTTATTTTACAATTTTCTTTTTTCTTCTTACTGTTAAATAAAATAAGAGAGGGAGGGAGATCTTTATGGCTGGCATTTAATAAAGCATAAATTTAGAGAAAAAGCTAATATTTTTGTAAAGTTAGCTAACCTTGGTAATCATGAAAAGCCCATTATTCAATACAAGATTGTACCCAAAGGTTTATAGTTGTCGGACTTGATTTTTTTTTTATTTGCAGTAGAAATTATCTCAAGTATTTGTTTCTTTAATCCTAACATATATAAACTTATAAGCTTTATATTTAATGGTATATTTTTACCTTTGAAAGTCTTAAAAATTTTGAATAGAGAAAAAAATCATTTCATAAGACCGAAACATTTTGTTTATCCAATAATACTGTTTCCTGAGCTTTTTTACATAGGTCTCATGTAATTTTTAGAAAATTCAGTAGGCTAACTCAGAGAAGTTAAATGATTTGTTTAATGCATAAAGTCATAGTGTTAGCAGAGTCAAGATTGAATATCAGTATGTTATTGCCAACATGTTATTGTTGGCAATCCAGTGCCTCTTCCTCTTAATTGTGTATTCTTCCTCTGTTACTCCCAGTTAAGAGTCTAAACTATAAAGATATTTTTGCCCCTTCAGATTTCTGAGGCATTCTTGCTGCTTTAAAGGAAAGGAAATGAGCCATCATTTCAATGTCTCAAGCACTGTCTTTCCTGTGAGAACTTTGAGTTTTTCCACTTTCTACTTTTTGATTTCCATACAGAAGCTAGTTGTTTTGATGCTGTTTTTTTATAATCTAACTAGCTAAATACTGAAAGTGGCTTTTGTTCCTCAGACTTAATCATTTAACAATATGTATTTTTTTCTTTTTAAAAAAAAAATTATTCTTAGGTGAGGTTAAACTCAGACCTGAAGCCAGAAAACGACTTCTAAGCTATATAAATGAAGAGCCACAAGATGCTAATGGTTATTTCAACCTGGGAATGCTTGCCATGGATGACAAAAAGGACAGTGAAGCAGAGGTGTGGTTGAAGAAAGCCATAAAATTACAAGCTGATTTCAGAAGTGCTTTGTTTAATCTGGCTCTCCTTTATTCTCAGACTGCAAAGGAATTAATGGCTTTGCCAATTTTGGAAGAGTTACTCAGACACTATCCTGATCATATCAAGGGTCTCATTTTAAAGGGAGACATTCTGATGAATCAAAAGAAAGATATACTTGGAGCAAAAAAATGTTTTGAGAAGATTTTGGAGATGGATCCAACCAATGTTCAAGGAAAACACAATCTTTGTGTTGTTTATTTTGAAGAAAAGGACTTACTAAAAGCTGAAAGATGCCTGGTTGAAACATTGGCACTAGCGCCACATGAAGAATATATTCAGCGCCATTTGAACATAGTCAGGGATAAAATTTCCTCCTCTAGTTTTGCAGAACAGCCAGTATCCCCAGCTGATAAGACTTCAGGTGTAGAAGGAGAAAAAATTCCAACTGAAAATGTAAAAGAAGTAAGAAGTGAACCCAGACCTACACAGATCATAAAACGAAGTGATAATAAAAGTCAGTCTAAATCCAACAAACAATTAGGAAAAAATACAGACAAACAGACCCCTCACAAAACAACAAAAGAAATCAAAGAAATTGAGAAGAAAAGAGTTGCTGCTTTAAAAAGACTAGAAGAGATTGAACGTATTTTAAATGGTGAATAGCATTATTTATCATGTCACAGTGTCCTCAAAGAACTTCAGTCTATCTTATGTGATTGCTTATACTGGGAGCTTTGAAAAATAGCAAGTGTACATGTAAGTCTATCATGAACCACCTCTACATAGGATCAAAATGTGATTTTCATTAAAGACCTGTCTTATCCCAGGGTAGGTATTGTATAAGATATGACCATTTTCTGAGTTTAATGACTATGGCAGAAATATTAAATTACAATTTGCAAATTTATATCTTTTATATAGAAGGAAGATTCTTCCTTCAGAGTAATCTTGCCTACTTTAAATTAAAAATAATTGGAAGCCTGAATGATAATCCCTTGGGGGCAAATTCAACATATGCTGGTTTATTCTATGAATTTGCATTCATTAGTTAACTTCATTACTTTCAGTTACCTGTTAGAATCTGATTATGGATTGAAAACACTTTATTGAGCACTTCTTTTTTTCTTCCATAATGTCTAACTGAGGGACTTGCACCACAAAAGAATACTGGCTTCCTTTATGTTGCGTTCTTTTGTTGATTTTTAGAAGGAATGCCAGATGAAATTTTTTAAAATAAGTCCTATGACATGTTAGTTTAAGAATGTATTTTCATAGTTGTGTGCTTTGTCCTTAACTTTACTCTGAATGCAATTTTTAATCAAGTATATAGACACATCCACCCACATTTCTAATGGTGCTCGTATATACTGTATTTTTATTTTTTTACATACTGAGATTTTTCACAGCATGAACCACATAATTATGACTATTTGAGTTTTTTCTTCCCAAACTATTCTTGTTTATTAGGATCTTAGTCATAATGAAAAAGTCCCTATAACTATAACGTTAAATTTTTTGAGTTAAGACAGTTTCTTTCATCTTGTTATCCTTCTACTTGTTGAATTTTAATTCCAAAAACACACTTTAATCATTCTTAGATACCTTAAGCAACTAAATTGAGTTCTATTTAACTGAAGGCAAAACAGTGTGACAAAGTTTATTTTTAAACACTAAGTTCTTGATCTTCCTATGGTGTATATTTTTATTAAATATTTATTTTGACTACTGAGCTTTCACAAAAATTTTAAAGCTGTTTGAATTCCATCAGCTATGGAAAACAAATTGCTGTTGCATTTTCCTATATATGCTTATATTACAGTTTAACCAAAATTTCATTTTGCTGTCCAGCTATAAAAGGTAGACTCACATATAATTAATAGTCAGTTGGTTTTAACAGTTTAAATCTGAAAACTGTTAGGTTGAAGAGCAGACATAAATCAGATGTATCAAGTTATATCTGATTTTTTTTCTTGAGTTAAAATACATCTCAAATGAGTTTTTTTTTTTCAAATGAGTTTTATAATACCTAATAAGTTGGTGTTATTTTAAAATGTTAAAATTCGAGGTATCATCCTGGAATAGGATCTAATTTCTAATTATGTAGAATTTCAAAAACTATATTTCTGTTCCTTGCAGAAATATAATTTCTAATTATATTTCAAAAATCATAACTGTAAGTTTTTATAAAGAAATATTTTATAAATAGGTCATAAGAAATTTGGTCTGCATTAAAGATCCAGTCTTACTAGGTTCCCTGAGGTTGTGTCATAGATTATTTTTTTAGGCAATTTAAATCAAGCACTGAGACCAATCATAGTTCACATTTTTTATTTGGGAGATTCTGTTCACCATTAAAGCACTGCCCAGTATTAGTTTTTAGATTATGGCTTTGCGACTCCATATATAAGATGGAGAATACCTCATATACTATGACTTGAAAAAAACAAAATCTATGTTAATCTTCTGTTCCCTCCGCATATCTTGAAAAAAAGTTTGAGTCTGATCGCTTCTGTTGTACTATCAAGTGAGGATAATTCAGAAAAGTAGAGAGAATCTTTTGTGACAGCAGATCATAATAAGAGCTCTGAGTAATATTTTAATAAAATTATGTAACTATTCAAAAGATAAAAAATATATTGTTATCCAATGATTTTTATAGAAAAAAAGAATTCCTCCTTACTTGCACTTAGAACAATGCCTATCCTGTAGAAAGTGCTCATATTTAAATTTTAAATAATTTATTTAAATGAAATCCACCTTGAGTGATTAGTAGTTTTTCCATTAATGTTTTTCAACCCTCACTTCATATTACCATCTGGAGGACTCCTAATATGGATCCCAGACCACAACAATTTAATCTGAATGGAGCCATGCTTCTATTTTTCTTAAAGTTCTCAGAGTGATTCTAATTTGTAATCAGGGTTAATGATCACTACGCTAGGGGCACCTGGGTGGCTCAGTGGTTTAGCATCTGCCTTTGGCTCAGGTCTTGATCCTGGGGTCCTGAGATCCAGTCCTGCATTGGGCTCCATGCAGGGAGCCTGCTTCTCCTTCTGCCTGTGTCTCTCCCCCTGCCTGTGTCTCTCCCCCTCTGCCTCTCTCTGTGTCTCTCACGAATAAGTAAATAAAATCTTAAAAAAAAAGGGGGGGGGGATGCCTGGGTGGCTCAGCGGTTTAGCGCCTGCCTTAGACCCAGGGCATGATCCTGGAGTCCTGGGATCGAGTCCCACATCGGGCTCCCTGCATGGAGCCTGCTTCTTCCTTTGCCTGTGTCTCTGTCTCTCTCTCTGTGTCTCTCATGAATAAATAAATAAAATCTTTATAAAAAAAAAAGATCACTGCTCTAAATTATAAATTAGTTCAAGAAAATCCTCTTATTTCTCCTGTATTAACTTTTTAAATCAGTAACATAACCTGGTTAAATTTTTATATTTTAATGAATATGCTCTTCTGATAACTAGTATTTATTTCATCTAAAGTACCATCGAGCTTGTTTATGCAAAGATGATTATCTTAAAATTCAGAAATTTCATTCAAGCTGTTCAAATAAAAAAAAAAAGCAACTTTTTTTTTTTTTCTCCCTCTTTGGAACTGCCTTTTTGGGGAAATGGATAGTAGGGACATTTTAGTCCAGTTCACTAACCTATAGTTGAGAGTTGTGAGCATCTGTATGTTTGGAAAAGGAAGCTTATCATAGGAAACTTTACCATTGTGTGCTGGTAAAGGGATGTAGTTTTAGTTCTCACTGTTTTACAAAAGAATCTCTTCCCCAGGAGTTCTAGGAAAGCTTTGACAATCTCCAAAGAGCAGTTATGTTACTTTTTACTGCTTCTCAGAAGAAAGTTTCTCTTATTGCTCCTATATATATTTCCATATTAACATTCAGAATTGGGAATTTTATCTTGTAACTATCCCAGTAAGTAATTTCATGGAAGTGACTTGGAGGATAAAACAAATGTTTGCAATTTTGTGTTTACTTTTATGTAAATAGTATGCGAATTACACAATTCTAATAAAACCTCATGCCTTTTCATTACATCTAATTTGAGCTCTCAACTTCATGTTACAGAATACTTTTTTGAAGATGCTTTAATGGAAACTTATGAAAATATATAGATTTGTATGTCAGTTTCTACTTCAGAAATCCATTATATATGTCATATTTATTTTTTTAAAAACCTAATTGTTTTCATGACTAAATGGTATTTAAAATGAAACTCCCAAAATACCTGGTACCTTTGTCCAAAACTTTGTCTGTTGGAAGCTGTCAGCCATCCATGTTAAGGGTTTATAAGAAAATAGTTTAAAATTATATGCATTTTCTATTACTGTTGTGTCTGTGTACCATATTTCTAAATATTCAGTATAAAATTGATACTTTTTAAAATCTTCACCTGAATTGCCTTTTAGTATTCAAATGAAAAGTAAAATTGCATATCAAGAGATTTCTGCCCCCACAAAGACAGAAGAGCTGGTGGGTAGTTTTATTAGCAATGATCTGAGAAAGGCATGTATTAAATTAGTTCCAACAGTGATACATTTTCAATGCTTAGTGACAGAAACTAAAGAAAATGAGACAAATTCAAACATGGAATTTTATACACCATAAGTAGAAATCAGTGTAGTGAAATAATTAAGAGTCTAAGGTATGCATGTTCCTGGATTCAAATCCCGATTCCACACTTGTTAGTGTAACTTAGGGAAATTATTTAATCTATAATTCCTTTATATATATATCTCTATATCCTATTGTATAAACTGGCAGGTATCTTTGTAAAATAAATAGTGCATGCTTAACCATATACATTGTAAATAGCCTTTACCAAACATGTTTGACAAGGACCATAATTAACATCATTTAGTAAATTGTGATAAAAGCCATGATTTATTTGATGTAATTGGCTTAATTTTTTTCATGTGGCACCAAGAATGAAATGGTTTATGATTATAACCAAGAGGTAGTTCTGATCTCTATCCATCCAGTGTTGTCTTTATTTTATTTGATTGTGGTTTGATAATATTTCATTGTCCAGGACATTGGAAAAACTTTTAAAAAATTTTTAGTTTTGCTGAAAATTGGCCTTATTAATGGACAGCTTTCTTAACAAGTGATTATTAACTTTTATCAGATGTTAACATCTGTTTCAGAACATGGTAGTATGTTCACATGTCAAGTTTTAACTCCATGACTTCCCAAGTTGATTTTTTTAGCAAATGGAAAATATACATATTATATTTATATTAAATATAGTAATATATTTAAATTGTTTAGAATAGTTCTTGGTATATAGCAAATGATGAATGTTAATTATTAATGTAATCATAGGGCTTTGATATGTAGTGAAAGATGTTAATCATTAAAGTAATCATAAGGCTTAGGCTTGCATTTGATGCATATGATTTGCTTTATATATGTGTTAGCAGAGGTAATGTTAATGATGGTCATATAGCAAACAAATTATTTAGATACTTAATATTAATGCTTGTTCCTTAGCCATCTAAGCCAACTGGTATATAGATAGCCTAAAACAATCTATTTATTAAATATTAAATTTATAAATCAGATTTATTTAATAAGTTATTAAAATGCAGAAATGAGAACTAAGACACCTTAAAACTGTAGTATCTTGTTCTTTAGCTGTTCACTGCCATCAGGGATGTAACATAAGATAAAATATTAATGCCCAGAAATCTCTGAAGACTTGCTCTCAAGTAAATTCGTGTTCTCTGGAACCCACTTTCTTCATGAGTAACATTTCTGTGACTATGCCAATGGATAGCATATTTCCCATTAAGTAGTATTTTTATTCTGGAAGAATCTGATAGCTATTTAATTTTTATCTTAAGCAAACCACTCCACTCCTCACCAAACCATTCTAGTTTGCCCTTTCTTAAAGATTTTCATGGTTAAAACTCAGTCATCTTTACTTCTTCCTTCCCCTATGGCTTTAGTTTCTGATATTAGGAAGGTTGTCTGATTAATACATACTAAACTGAATGATAGATGGTGGATCTTGTTAGTCAACTCAACAGTTAATTCAAGTGCACCTCTTTCTTTGTAAATTGTAGGTGGTATAGTGGGAATTATTTGAACGATGTGGAGGTTGTCCACCATTCTGCCTACTAAGCAAAGAATTGAAAGAGACCACAAAAAAGCTTTGTAGCTGCAAGAAGTCCACTTCTTACCAGAGTCCTGTTTTTGATGGGCACTGGCAAGCTAGATAATTGCATTTGGGAGGTGGAATCAGTAATCAGACTGACAGCAGAATTGGATTTATGCCCAATAGTGATATCTGTAAAATTAATTCCTGGGCAATGAATATACAGATCTTGCTGGATTAGCAATGAGATTGCATACCAATAAACCTACTCTAACTTAAAAATACCATAAGTTGAAAAGGTATTAAATACATCTAACCTACTGAACATCAAAGCTTAGCCTAGCCTACGTTAAATGTTCTCAGAACGATTGTATTAGCCTACAATTGGGCAAAATCATCAGACACAAAGCCTGTTTTACAATAGTGTTGAATATCTCATGTAATTATTGAATACTGAAAGTAAACAGAATGGTTGTATGGGTATAGAACAGTTGTCAGTGTATTGGTTGTTTATCCTCATGATCGCCTGGCTAGCTGATCCTGCCCAGCCTTACTAGAGAGTTTCAACCTTCATATCACTAATCTAGGACAAGATCAAAATTCAAAATTTGAAGTACAGTTTCTACGGAATGCCTGTCTCTTTCACACCATCATAAAGGCAAAAATTGTAAGTCAAAACATCGTAAATTGGGGATCATTTGTAGTGTGTACATGTTTAATATAGTATCTCTATAAGACACCATTTCCTCTGGTGGATGGATCTGCATTGTCATTCCTTAATTTATGCCTATACTTTAAATACTAGTGTTCTCTCTTCTACTCTTTTTGTCCCCTGTCTCCTTTAAGAATTGGTTTCAGGTATATAGGTTTCCACAAATGTCCAGCCTAGATTTTCCCTAATCTCCAGAACCATGAATCTAGTGAATATTCTATCCAGAGGTATTCATTCCTCCCATCCTTTCTTCCAAATCCCATGTCTACTGGATAAGTTTACTCTAAGAAAGACCAACTAAAAGAAAAAATATATCCAGTTCAAATCAAAGGGGGGGAGGTAGGGAGAAACCAAAGGGACATGAAAGCTTGCTAATGGTTTATTTACTCAAAGCAGTGGCAAAATTTAAGACATCAGTTGGGTAAATAGACATGATTACGGGGCTTAGGTTAAAAACAAATGCTACAAATATGCAAATAAGTTATAACTTTTAATCCATCAGAAAACCCACGTTAGCAATAGAATGTAGTAATGGGGACAGAGCGAATGAAAGTGTAGAACAAAAAAAGGTGTTAGCTGATAATATATAGCAATAACTAAAGTGAATGTAAAATAAGTTAAACCTACCAAAAAATAAGCTCATACTTTTTGTTTTAGTTCTATTAAGTTTTACATATTTTTACAATGAATTATAAATATAAGGTCCAAAAACATGTCCATGAAACACTTGTATATAAAAAAGTCAAAAGTAAGACAAAAAGCCTACCAGTAAGTATGAACCAAAGCAATCTGGAGTACCAATTTTAATACATGACAAAACAATTCAAGCCAAAAGAAAAGGGAAAATGATACATACTAGTAAGAGGAACAATAAAACAGGGACAGATGTCCATCATAAATACACATGTTAACGATATAACCTAAAAATAACAGTACAGGGAAATAGATAAACCAGAAATTATAACTGGAGATTTTAACAAAATCCTCTGAGAAACTAATGGATCAAGCAGAGAAAAAGTAAGTGGATAAAGACCTAAATAACCTTGAACTATTAAGTTTATATAGGATTTCACTTCATGCAATATGCATTCTTTCCTAGCACATAAGGAATATTTACAAAAGTAGACTATATATATATCAAACCATAAAGGAAACTTCAGTAAATTCCAAGACGATGCTCCTTGATCATAATGCAAATGTTCTTAGCAGCTTTGTTGGTAACACAAAACTGGAAACAACCCAAATGCTTATCAGCAAATAAATGGAGAAACAAATTGTAATATATTCAAACAGTGAAATACTCTTCAATTAGAATTTTACTTCTGAGCAAAAAGCCACACACAAAAGCAAGCGTACGCTATATGATTTCGTTTATATGAACTCCCAGGACAGACTAATCTGAATATCTAGAACCAAAGGGTGGAGGGCAATAGAACTTTTTAGCGTGGTGGAAACATTAATGGCCCGGTAATTCCACTGTGAGGTGTATTGACAAAAGAAATACATGTAACAGGTGCAGTCAAAGATATAAAAACATTCTTAGGGTTGATTAAGTCCCAACCTTGAAATAATCAAAAACGAAAAGTAGACAAGGTATTTGTTATACAATGAAATGCTATGAATATGTATAAACCACTACTACATGAAGCAACATGGATGGGTCTCACAAAAATAGTATTGGATAAAGCCAAACAAAAAATGCTACTGTTAAAATTCTATTAATATGAAGCTCAAAAACTGGCAAGATGAATTTGTGCTATTACAAGTCCAGGATAGTGTTTGCCTTAAGGAAGGAAATAGGATGTTTATTGGAAAGGAATGTGATGGTGGGCATTAACGTTCTGTTTTGTTCTCTTGATCTGGGTGTTTGCACAGATAGGCTCAATTTTTGGCAATTCAGGATATATGCTTTTTTCCAGATGTACATAATAAACTTCAAAAAATAGTGTACTATTAAAAGATGTATTTAAGAAAATGGGAAAATACAATAAAAATTTATATGTAGTCCAGGGACACAGGTGAAACATTTACAAAAGAATTCTGTAATCACAATTTAGTAATAAATATCAAGTACAGAGAATGACAGAATGTACAGATACTTTTAAAACAGCTTTATTGAGATATAATGGACATAATGAATTCATATTTAAAGTGTATAATTTGTTTAATTTTTATGGGCATACAAATATAATTTTTATCTGGTCCCATAATTTTTTATCTTGTAGACATTACATATTTTTCGAATACAAATAAATTTTTTTTAAGATTTCATTTGAGAGAAATAGAGGCAATGAGCAGGGAAAGAGGGAGAAACAGACTCCCCACTGAGCACAGAGCCTGATGCGTGGGGTTCAATCCCCGTATCCTGAGATCATGACCTGAGCCGAAGGCAGACCCTTAGCCGATTGAACCATCCAGGCGCCCCAATAAAAATGATTTAATTCTGTTATTTCTAATGCACATTTTCTGACTGTCTATACTCAGTTTACTCTGCTTCTGCAAATGGCCATTTTGGGATTTAGTCTTTCATAATTATTAACTCATGTGTTTTTTGGAGGTGTGGAGGCCAGAGCTAACCAAATTGAAGCCAGTGAAATGACCCATGATTTTGCTAATACCTCATCAACTTAAAATGAGAGAGAATGTAAGCTTAATATTGTAGTAACCACTTTTTCACCATAAGGAGAGATCCTATATAATAGAGCCAGGATACAGTAGCAGATTATAGAAGCAAAAAAATTAGGTCATGGTGGATATTGTTGGAGACCTGATCAAACCACATCTAGAAAGGCAATAAGGTAAAGTGAAAGTGACGTGAGCCACACCTGAGTGGTGGTGCCAACTTTTGAACAGGAACTATACTTTGTATGTAGCCTGGCCAAGCTCACGAAGGGCAGGATGGATCTCTCAATCCCAGACTTGATTCTGTACCATTGATTTGTGTAAGCAAAATAACTGATTCAATTGTCCACTCTGTCTTGTGATGAAC